CAAGAGTCAGACCACGTGATGATCATTGTTATACAGCGTGGCCCAAGAGTCAGACCACGTGATGGGCATTGTTATACAGAGGGGCCCAAGAGTCAGACCACGTGATGGTCATTGTTATACAGCGTGGCCCAAGAGTCAGACCACGTGATGGGCATTGTTATACAGAGGGGCCCAAGAGTCAGACCACGTGATGGTCATTGTTATACAGCGTAGCCCAAGAGTCAGACCACGTGAGGGTCATTGTTATACAGCGTGGCCCAAGAGTCAGACCACGTGATGGGCATTGTTATACAGCGTGGCCCAAGAGTCAGACCACGTGATGGGCATTGTTATACAGCGTGGCCCAAGAGTCAGACCACGTGATGGGCATTGTTATACAGGGTGGCCCAAGAGACAGACCACGTGATGGGCATTGTTATACAGCGTGGCCCAAGAGTCAGACCACGTGATGGGCATTGTTATACAGCGTGGCCCAAGAGTCAGACCACGTGAGGGTCATTGTTATACAGCGTGGCCCAAGAGTCAGACCACGTGATGGGCATTGTTATACAGCGTGGCCCAAGAGTCAGACCACGTGATGATCATTGTTATACAGCGTGGCCCAAGAGTCAGACCACGTGAGGGTCATTGTTATACAGCGTGGTCCAAGAGTCAGACCACGTGATGGGCATTGTTATACAGCGTGGCCCAAGAGTCAGACCACGTGATGGGCATTGTTATACAGCGTGGCCCAAGAGTCAGACCACGTGATGGGCATTGTTATACAGCGTGGTCCAAGAGTCAGACCACGTGATGGTCATTGTTATACAGAGTGGTCCAAGAGTCAGACCACGTGATGGGCATTGTTATACAGCGTGGTCCAAGAGTCAGACCACGTGATGGTCATTGTTATACAGCGTGGCCCAAGAGTCAGACCACGTGATGGGCATTGTTATACAGTGTGGCCCAAGAGTCAGACCACGTGAGGTTCATTGTTATACAGCGTAGCCCAAGAGTCAGACCACGTGATGGGCATTGTTATACAGCGTGGCCCAAGAGTCAGACCACGTGATGGGCATTGTTATACAGCGTGGCCCAAGAGTCAGACCACGTGATGGGCATTGTTATACAGCGTGGCCCAAGAGTCAGACCACGTGAGGGTCATTGTTATACAGCGTGGCCCAAGAGTCAGACCACGTGATGGGCATTGTTATACAGCGTGGCCCAAGAGTCAGACCACGTGATGATCATTGTTATACAGCGTAGCCCAAGAGTCAGACCACGTGATGGGCATTGTTATACAGCGTGGCCCAAGAGTCAGACCACGTGATGGGCATTGTTATACAGCGTGGCCCAAGTCAGACCACGTGATGGGCATTGTTATACAGGGTGGCCCAAGAGTCAGACCACGTGATGGGCATTGTTATACAGAGGGGCCCAAACGTCGGGACACGTGAGGGTTATTTAATTAAATTTTACATTGGCGTTAACGGGTTTAATTTATTCTGGAAGTTAATATTTGAGCTATTATAATTATTGATATCCACAGATTTTTTTTCTTTCCTCCTTTTGAGATGACATTTAAAAATGTAAAGAAAATTGCCTAAAGGCGAACGAGTTCAACTCGCTTTCATGTACGCTAAAGAAAAAGCAGCTGTAATACTAAAAAATCGTACATTAATTCCAAAAGACAATTCATGCACGCATTTATGTTAACGGCAGTCCGCTTGAACATTTGTTGAAATAAATATCGTAACCCTGTGTGTCCTGACGTTTGGGCCATCCTGTATATTGAGCTGGAAACCAATTTACTTTGCAAAAAGTGGCCCTCGCCTGTGAACCTCGGGGGCGTGATGTTGATTTTGGGTTTGAGTGTCTGCTGAAACGTCGAACGTCAAAATCTTGCTCGGGCTGTTCCAACACTCCTCCTCCTCCGCATGTTGCTGAAAAATCAAATCGATCGGGATACGTGCCCACGCGACGCGCCAACTCGAATTGACTGGCTCAGTCGAGAGGTTGGAGGGCTACAATTAAAAGTGTCGACATTACACCTCCACAGTGAACTAACCCAGAATATAAAATTAATCATCAATGTAATAAATATTGATTCGGGAAAAGCCCGATCCGGGCAGTTTACCAGCATCTATTAAAGAGCGCCCGACTCTGCTGCTAATGATTATTATGGTGCAATTATTACGGTGCAATGCTTTGATGTTGCCTGCCAGCCGAGTCGCCATTGCAAACGCGCGTATTAGCTCAATGAAAGCTTTACTCGGTAAAGACTTATTATTCTGACTGTACGCTACATTTGACGAGACACTGAATAAAGAAAACGATTCACGGCCTTTGCCGGCATGCGTTCAAGCAACTGCTGCTCGTGGCAAGCTGTGCTGCCACAAGGTCGTGATGATGTGGACGTCTTAAAAGTAAAATAGAAAAAGACTTTGCTGTTTTGCGCGGAGACACGTATGGGAAGAGGACACGTTATTTATTCTTTTCTCAGCATTCTCCGCGAAGCCGCTGCATTATTAGTGTTGTTGCCGTGTTACAAATAACAACGTGAGCCTTGTACGCCTAGGACTTAACAAACCCCGTTTGCGAGCCATGCGAATTCAAGTGACCTCAAGGATACATCGTTTATTTCTATAGATTTGAAAATATACACGTTATGGGTTCTCTCTCTCTCTCTCGGCACATATACTATAGCAATGTACAAAAACGTCGAAATCATTGTGGCATGCAGCAATCTAGGTTTTTTTATTGAGTGGATACAGCACTGTATTTAAAATTCTTACGATTCCACCCCCCCCTCCCCCATGTCCTCCCTTGACCCCCGGCCAATACAGCCTCCCGCCCACCTGCATCAACACTATATTCGGCCAGTGGAGTCTATCACAAACACGACTGATCACCTCACCAGGCCGGGTCGAGAGCGCTAATAGTAGCCATGGGGGGAAAAAAACCGTACAAATTTAGCATTAAAGTGACAATTTCCTCTTATTTTGTTTTGCTCCATAATCCCACCAAACAGTCTCTTATATAAAAACATCGCCCGCCGTACATAACACTTCATTGCGAAACTCGCGACTTAAGTGCCCTTTAACATTTTCCCCCCACCACTTGTTCGGAAGGCGGGTGTGTAAATTTATGCGTTTACGATTCGGGGGCAGACGTGTGCAAACGTGACTTGTAGCTTAAAGCAAGGCTGCCTCGCACAATACTGCACCCGGATCAGACGCACAAAAACCAGGGATTCATCTCCAGTTGAGAATAGAAACAGCAGCGGTGCTGGTTGGGGGGGTAGCGGTGGTGTAGCGGTTAGCGCGCTGCGCTACACTCCCGGCGACACGAGCTCGATTCCGGGCTCACGTCCATCACACAACCCCAGCGACGATTCTTTATCTGGACCGGTGCATGGGCCTCACCCAGATCGACTAGGCCTCAAATTCTTGTGCGATGTGTCGGAAACATCGCCACTGGGGAGACAAAGGCGGTCGAGCGTGGTACGAGCCACAACACCCACTCGTGTTACGTTGCGGCCTTCATTGGTGCATGGGAACAGCACTTGTCCTAACAGTCTGTTTTAGGGTTAAGAGGGGATATTTTTGTCTTTGGAGGGGGGGGGAGGTGGGAGGAGGTCGTGGCGCTATGCGCCTGGAAACCCGAGTTCGATTCCTGGCCACAGCTCATGTCGTCCGTGGCGAGAAACATCGGAACAGCTCATGACGCGTCTCCACCCCCCCTCCCTCCACCGCAGCCAGACATTAATTAACCAGCGCTGACAAGAGTGGTAAAGTATGGGCAAACAAGCCATGCCACTTGAGTAAAGCGAGGAAGCCTTCATCCAGGAAGGGCTGTGAAAAGACTATTATCAATATGTATCACTATATAAACAATTGTATGGCCATATTGGAAGAGTCGGCCAAATAGACTTTGTCAAGGGGCTCTCTCTCTCTCTCTAGAACTCACGGTGGAGGCCCTTCCGGCAGCATTGGCGTGAGCAAGCAATTGCAGGGCTGCGCCTTTCCCTCCACATCAAACAACTGAATCCTGACTCCAGTCTAGACAATGCATTTAAAACGCCCTTCGCTCGCTCCAGACCATTGTAACAATCAAATATTTTTTTCCCCAGTCTTACAAACTGAGAATCATCTCCCTTCATATTCAACAAAGAAAGGCAGCCTTTTGTTCGTGCCCAAATTTGATAAGATGCTCACAAGCACACAAGTGCGTGCATGTGGTATTGTAGATTTGTTGTTTTTAAACCATCCGTCATCTAATTACAGCTACAATATATTATCGTATAATATAACAATGTACAATGTGTACACAACAACACCAAATAAACGAACCCGCCGCCCTGCGTTCCACCTCGTATCCACATCCCCCCCAGCTTAGGACGTGTCCGCTACACACGTTGGTAACGAGCGGTTCAAACTCCCCGCACATTAATACTCGGTTTCCACACGCGGCGTGATTGAAGGGTCGCATGCAACTCGAATCGCGCATCCGTATGCGGACGTCTCCGCAACCGGTTGCGGCAACCGGTGGGAGGGCTCACAGAACGAAGGACCCAAGTCAACTTCCAAAGCGGCAATCGGCTCGCTCGACGCGTTTTCAAATCGCGTGCAACTCTCACAAAACAAAACAATAACTCGCGCGCGATTTTTGGTTGCTGCCTTCACGAATGACGCCACTGCCGCAACTGCTCGCTCGCTCGCACACGTGGACGAAGCAGCCGCAGGCGATTCAAGTTGCGCGACCGACCACCACTCGGATGTGGACCCCCCCACCACCCCACCAAAGCCCCACCACCCGGCCTTGCACACCCGACGCGTTCCTTAAGCCGGCTGCCCATTTCAAACAGCCGCCGATGAAAGGCCCCGACGAACCGTTCAAGCTCTCTGGCGTACACTCGCTTACTCGCTCGCGCACGCAGTCGTAAGCCACTCTTAGCAGCAACCTCCCTCCCCAGCACCCCCCCCCCCGCCACCCCCCATCCGTGTAAAATATACAGCATACGTCAAAAAGCACGGGGGGTGGGTGGGGGGATACCTTCACGCTACACTGCGCAGGCGACCCCTGCGGTGCGGACACCGCGAATGAACGATCCTATTGGACCGGGTCCCTTCCGTTCGTCGCATCGCTCGGCGCTCGATTCCGACGTTCGAAAGTGTGGGGCGGAGTTGAACGGATGGATTCGGCGGCGTGGCACCGAATGATTGCACGACACTCACTGACACACATACTACACACGCTGCACACAGAACGAAACAACCCACGGTGTGCGCGCGTGTGCGAAGTTTGGTTTGTCGCTTCAAATAATTCCAGCTCTTTTGAGTTCGGCAAACTTGTCGTGTTTTTTGTGTTTGTGTTCGACTGCCGTGCGTCGGTCCACACCGAGGGCGTCTCATCGCCACCCTGGCGTGAATTGAGAGGTGACCGAAGGGAACTGAGGAAATTGGTTTCTTACGACGTCAACTCCAGCAGCCGTCCCCTGCGGAAATTGTTGTTACATTACACCGCACACCCTCTGGTACGCGTCCCAAGCATTGACGTCTTCATCGCACGGGAAAGTGGCGGCAGAATAGGCCAAAGTGGCGTCCCCGTTCGTAAGAAAACCAAACCACGCGGGTATTCTGGCGAGCATGCAATGCTGAACTTCTGTCGCGCCGCACGTGACCGACACGTGATAATCGGAGATGCGCAAAGGGCAGGGGGCCACCAAAGCGTGCGTGAGTCGGCCAAAGTTACCCCTCAAGAAGGGAAGAGGGGTAACTGTCGCTCAAGTTCCCCGCGAGTGGAGACCGCTCCCGCCAGCAGCGAGCGCAAGCAAAAGCAATTCCAGCGTTGCACCTTCGCCATTGCCAAGTTTGGTTTAAAATCATAAAACACAAAAAAACCCGCGCCCCCTTCACGTGGAAAGACGTCGCTGATGACCGCTCCGATAAACTCGACGGGCCGAGGAAGGCAGCGAATAAATAAGGAGAAAACAGATTGTTGTTGCAGAGGCGAGCGGAGGAGTGCGTTGACGACACAATTTGGCGTGCGGGTTCGCGACAAGTGCGGTGCGGGCGGCGCTCCAAGTGCGTCAGGTAGTTTACGGCCCGACGCTACGCCGAGGGCACCTGTGGTTTTGCTCGCTCGCTCATCATCTCAATTCAAGGTAACAACAACAATAGCAGCAGCAGCAACCGCGAGCGATACTTGCGCTCCAGAGGTCCGTTCCTCCCCGGCCTCCGCTACCCCCCCCCCCCCGCCATGGATTCCACGCAACTGCGGTGGTGTCGCGTGAAAATTGAGCTGCGGTTGATTTACGAGAACGGCCCCGCTCCTTCGGATGAGATTAACAGTTTCTTTCCAGCGCTGGACAGATTTACAACGGAAAAATGACTACAATCATTGGTGCAGGAGCTACAGTTTGATGTTAAACCACTCCTCAAGTGTATATATATTTCTAAAATTTGATTACGGGTTTCAAGACGTAAGCTGTAGAATGGTTTTTTTTCCTGCAGAATTTAAGGCTTCATGAACGGAGCAGCTGATTGAAATTCAGGACACCTCTGCCGAGGTAAAAAATAAAATGCGTGTAGAAAATTAAATGAAAACAAAAGTGCCCCAGGTGGTCATTCGAGCGCACGTGCAAGTAGGAAAACGGTCGCGCACAGGCACACCAAACAGTTGCAGAGAGAACCACCGACGCACAAAAACACGCACGCACGAGCCTCCCTCTCCCCTTTGGTGCCGAGTCCTGTTGGGCGTGCGTGTGCGCAGGGCGGGTGGATGCCTCCCCAGTGTCCCACAACGCGAGGAAGGTGGCGCCGAGTGTGCATAGACCGGCGCGCGTGACAACGAACGCCCAACACGCGCCCGCGTGGAGCTTGCTGCGGAGACAATTTGAAGAAATGTGACACAACCCACGTGGGTGAATGCAGCATATATACAGTGACCCCGATAAAACGAAACGTTATTTGGTGATACTGCTTTGGCAGCGGTGCACAAGAGCAATTAAACAAACAACAAACAGATCAACACATTCCGTCAATAACGTGCCTTCAAAAGGAAATTGAAATATATAAAACCGGACACATTTTCGGCAATGGTTACACAAATGATGTTGCGTGCTATCAAGAAGGGCCGTTGCCTGAAACGTCGCCTTCATATATTTATTTCCTTTTTACGGCAGTAACCCCTGCAAGGTCAGGACACATGTTCGGATAACCGTCACCGGCAAATTGTCACCAGCAACTTTCGCTTTGTCGTCCGCCAGTTGCCAAAATGCGGACAGAGGTCACGTGACTGGCTCGAGGCTGTGTCGTTGCGCGAACGCGAGCTCTGTGCATCAGTCACTGCTCATCGAACGCCCCACACAGCGCTCGGCAACCTCCGTCCGGATGAGCTGAACTCTTCTTCTCAATCTACGCCACTCTGGCATGACCACGGCGCTCATAGTTTCATGCGTTGCCGGTGGCAATCGTAGGTGGCGGTTGCCCTGAAGTTGCCACGGTTACCTATGAGCATAAAACCCTTCCCCCACACCTCCCTATCCAGGGAGGAGAGGGAGGAGGGGAAGGAGGGGCGGGGGGGTATTGAGAATTCGTGGTGGTGAGAGTGGAGGTGGTGAGAGTGTTTGGTGGTGGTGAGTGGAGGTGAGAATTGAGTTGGTGGTTGAGAGTGGCCGTGGTGAGTTTGGAAACTGAGAGAGGATTGTGGTTGTGGGGGGAGGGAGGAGGGATGAAGCAGGGAAGAAGTGGAGGGGAGGGGGGAGACGTGGTGGGCGGGGGAAGTTTGGGGTGGGGGAGTACACGGAGGAGGCCGGAGGAAAGGGAAGGGCAGGAGAGGGCAGGAAAGGGTAACGAGCGGAGGACTGAAAAAGCTATTAACGAAGCGATGAGGTCGTTCGCTTGGAGAGAAGACACGCGTTTGTCGGTTCCGCCATGAAAGTGGGAGGCGGGTGGGGTCGGTGGCCACGGTGAGAGTGGTAGGAGAGGGCGGGGGGGGAAGGGGGGGGCAAGCTGGGCAAGGCGGTCGGCCGTCTCTAGAACGTCTCGTCGTCGTTGCACTGCTCGGCGGTGTGGCCAAACGACTCGCAAATGCCGCAGTAGGGCCGCGTGGCGTGGCGCTCGCCGTGGTGGGCCGAGTGGGGCGGCTCCTCCTCGGGCTGGGCCTGCGTGGGGCAGTCCTCCGTGTCGTGCAGGTCGAAGCAGTCGCAGATGTCGCAGAAGAGACGCGGCGCCACCTGGCGGCGGCCCTCCTCCGGCCTGCCGGGGGGAAGGGGTCACGGCAGAGATGGGGGGGGGCGGTGGGTTAAATGCATTTATCGATTGCCGCGGGTTGCCGAGCGCGGGATTAAAAGGGCCGTGTGATGTAAAGAGGTCGGCGATGGAGAGAGAGGGAGGGGGGGAGAGAGAAAGAGAGCATGCCGACGATAGTGTAAGGAGATAAGTAATGGGTTTCTTGCATTGAGCAAGGTTAGAGGGGGATTGGGATGAGTTCCAATGCCCGCTGCAGAGAGCGGCGACGTTGGCAAAGCAGGCCAGACCTAATGCGCTGAACCACCATGAGCACGCGGAACTTGTAGGCGAGCTGGGAACACCGATAACGGATGGGAGTTACGATGATGGCAACGGTGATGATAGCAGGGCCTGATTAGAGCTACCGCGGTGTTTCCCCGAGTCGAGCGAAGGTTCCAAAAACTTGGGGAAAAAAAGATGACGCCAGAGTTTCCCCAAGCAAGCGACGAGAGAGCACGCGTGACAACGCAGCAGATGAACGGTGCTGAAAGAGGAGAAATGTTGTTTCCCTGCAATTTGGGGCTTTGACGGCAGTAGGGGTTAGAGGACACGGTGGTGGTGGTAAGACCAGGGGAAGTGCTCACGGCGAATCACTTCAATGAAAGGAGGAGAGACGCGGAGATCAAGTGGAAGATCAAAAGCAGTTCTCCCGAGATGGAAAAATTCGGGAAATGCGATAGAGATGTAGACAAAGCACCACTGTTAAACCGGTAATAGCGGGCAAGTCCGGGGAGTAAACACAAATAATTACATCTGGGCGCGCCGTCACCGACGCAGCCCTGTTATTACGTCGCCCCTTGTTACACGGCCAACACTGACAAACCTCGCCTTTAGCTCAGCGGGGGCTAAACACAAATGTTTCCCTTGTAAATCCAAAGGGGAGGTGGGGAGGCAGGGAGGGAGGGAGGGAAACAATAACGAAAACCGTCAGAATTACCGTTCTCACGAAGCTCTCCAGAGGCCTGCTGCATTGTATGATTTTCTACTGTCAAAACAATTGCGAGAACGCCCGCACGCTTGCTGGCATTCAGCGCCGCCACCACCACCGCCACCGCACAGAAGGTATGCTCACACGCGCGCCGAAGCAACACACGTACGCTGCACGGATGGATGGACGGACGGACTGATGGACGGACGGAGGGACTGACGGATGTTCGAACGGTCGGATGGATTGACAGACAGACAACAAACAGACGGACAGCCGAATGAACGGGCTTGCGAGCTAACGCGGAATAACAGGAAAAGCGGTGCCCGCGTCGGACGGGGCGAGGCGGACGTCTCCTTACTCTTCAGCGCTGTCCCCCTGTCCGGCGGCGTCATTCCCATTCACGGCTGCCTGGGCCAACTTCTCCAGCTGCGACTGGAGGTCCTCGTTCTTCCTCTGCAGTTCCACGATCACCGAGTTGAGGAACTCCACCTGCGCGCACGCGGGGATGAACAGGGCAACGGTGCGCCGAACACAGCGGTGGCGTTATTAGCACGCACGTGGTGATCCGTTCATGACACACTCCTGCTGATTATTCTGTTGGGACTACATTTTTTTTTCAGGAGGGCCCTGCTACCGGTTTTCGCAGGAGGGGGGCGACGATTGCGATGTAACCCAAAAGACGAGCAACGTGCGGATAATTTTTTTTTCCCAAATTGGCAAATGTGGACCGTGACGGGGGGTCGCATACGGTGGGCCCACTATAGCTCCACTCTGCACTCAATTACTCAGTAAGTGCCGCTGTGACCGCTGTAGATGTGCCCTCTCTCAATTAACTGCCTTCACGGGCGCACTCGGCTCATCGATAATGACCCTCATGGCTACCCACTTGGGTCCCCCCCCCCCCCCCCCGACTTCAAAGAATCATTCCCATGTGGCTGCTTCGTTCACCGCTCTCCTTTTGTACCTAAAATGCGACTAAATTTAGATGATTGCCCATTTACATTTTCTTAACGTCCAGATTACCGCGGAAATTATCGTATGCTCTGGGTTATAAGGCACAGTTTTTTCTCCCCTTTGCATCTGCCAGTCATCTCAGTCAGTGACCCTGTGGCAACTCCTGGGTCTGGCCCTGCTGCCAGAGAGCCTTTGACGCTTCGAGTGGCATAAAAAAATGCACCTAGCCTGGCTCAAGCGCTGTGGTGATGTCACCGCCATTTAGTGGTGAATGGCGGCTGTCGTTGTTGTTGTCTGTGTGTGCAGGGAGCAGTGGCGCTGTGGTTAGCGCGCTTGTGCTACGACTTGATTTCGATTCACGCTCACGAGGATCTGGTGTGGTGTGTAATCACCACTGGGTAGACAAAAGCAGCTGGGCGTGGTGCTGGCCACCCATCCCCTCGTGTGCTAAGCCGGCCTTCAAAAAGTGCTTGCTAACAGCACTTGCCCCACCAGTGTGTTAAGGCTATGAGGGGGACCTTTGTCTTTGTGTGAGCGACCACATCCATTTAACTATTATTAGCATCGGGTACTAATAAAGTTCTGGGTGCGTCTTACTTTCCAGAGCATCTCATAATCTGAAGAAAACGGAATATTTGTTGTATTCGAAAGGATACATTTATATATAATTATATATATTTTTTTCGTATACAAATATATAATCTTAATGGATTTCAGTTTTTCTGGCCGCGATTCAACGGCAGTTGGTGCTGACTACTGGAGGCCGGGAGGGAGGTGGTGGTGGTGGGGGGGGTTACCGCACGCACACGCACGCAGCACCAACCATTTGCTGGGCGAGCCAAGGAGCCACGGAGGATGTGGTGGTGAAGGAGGAGGAGGTGGAGACAGTGAAAGTGCAGCCAGAAGATAATTGTGCATCAGGGTTCAGGTGGGTGACGGTGTGGGTGGGTTTGGTGGTGGTGGTGGGGGGGGGGGGGGTGGTGGGGAGAGGGGGTGGGAGGGGTGCAGAAGGGGAAGCAACGAAAGGAATAAAGAAACAAAGAATGAGAAAATAAATCACGGGGAAACCAAGTGGAAACAAGAGCCAGAAGGTGAGAATACATTGGAACCAATCGCACGACTTGAGATAACGAACGTCCGTGCCAAAAACAAACAAAAAAAGGCACTGCGCACAAGGAGACAAATTAAAGCGGTGGCCGCCGCCGCCACGGGGCGTTGCGTGCGCGCGTGTTTGCGTGTTTGTCGACCGCCACCGAGTGTACCTGGCCGCTGACGTCGTCGTCCTCCTCCTCGTCGTCCGCGTCTTGCCGAGCCGCCTTGGTGGTGGCCGCGACGGCCGCTGCGGAGGGAAGAGGCGGCATCGGTCTCTGGTCGCATTCACTCAATTGTCAGTTTCGCGTCAGGCGCACAAATGCGACTTCACGTCGAACAAATGTACGTACTCATAATCAACGTTTTTTTTTGGGTTTAGATCGCGTTATTTATAAATGTGTCGTAACCCTCCACCACCCGACACGGCCAATCAGTAAAAAGTGTCACGTTGACAAAAGACAATTAGTTCACTGCTTTAGCCCACCGGTGTGTTGAAGCGTGAAACCACAACAATTTACAATTTGAGTACGACGTTTCGCTGGTAATTGCATCTGATTGGCCGTGTCGGGTGGTGGAGGGTTACGACACATTTATAAATAACGCGATCTAAACCCAAAAAAACGTTGATTATGAATAATATTGGTCGCGAAAGCCTACGTGTTAAACTGAAATGTACGTACGTATGTTGAACTTCTTTCGCATCTTACGTAGCCAGCCGTGACTATCGGAGGTGCACTGGTCGATTAACTGGACTGTGAGACACTGACGAACTGCGACATCAACGAACCGCCAAATAATGGGTAATCTTCTTTGTAAGTCAGGCCTGGCTGCCTTCAATATGATAATTATTTGAAACATCATCAAAGAAATTAATTTCAATGGTCTTCAATGGACTCCCATATCAAATGGCAACTCCTGTTATGGTAATCCTTCCAATCGACCCTTATTTAAAATATCTGCTAAAGCATGGGTATACACAAGACCTTCCAAACAATCAATTAAGGGGCGATGAAAGGCAATACAACAAAGGCAAATTTAGGACAACGGTCGCTTGCAATTGTCACCGGTAGTATAGCTGCCACACCATTTGCTATTGTACATTTTGTTGGAAACAACTCTGGATAAATCTGATCGCTGCACTCAGGAGTGGGCAACTGGGATGGTAACTTCCAATCAGATCGCAGACACAGGTCACATGACTGCTCGGAGTTGTGTATTCTCTTTAGACTAACAAATGCTGAACTAATCACTTTTCAAGGAAGTCTGCTTTTATTGGTTAGTCGGAACTCTCATCACTCTATGCCCCTGCCATGGCAAGATGCTCATAGTAAGGCCGACATTATTAGTCACGGCTCATATCAGCTCAGGCTTGCCTCTGGCTCACACAAGCCGGCTCAAAGAAAACGCTTAACCCTTTCCCGTTCCGGTGACGTAGGTACGTGTACGTCATCAAAACAAAACCGGAAGGAATGATAAAACAACATTATTGGTACCGAGGCTCCCACAACGCCATGCGAGAGAGGTGCGTGTGGCACAGTTTGGCGCCAGCTATCGGAGCGTGCGGTCGTGTTGTTATAGGCTTCTCTGCGGGAGAGTACTGTGTCTTTAAAAACAACGGCGCTACGCCTTTCTAAACTAAATTAATGCCGAGCCGCTTGCGCGTTCCGAGACTCAGCGGTGAATGGAGCGTGAGGGTTCGATCCAGACCCTGATGCCTGCATATTTAGAGTTTGCAAATCTCTCTCCCCGTGGTCACGTGGGACTTTTTCTGCGGGTCCTCTGGTTTTTCCCTCCGCATTTAAAAACATGCGTATAGATTATTTTTTATTATTTGGCTGCTATAAATTTCCACACAAGCCACTTCGTTGAGCGCTCATTTTTGTTGGCAAGGTCGCTTCTGAAAAAGAAGCTAACAGCTCAGTGAGCTTTACCTGGTAAAATAAAAATAGCTTATTCGTATTTTTTTTTATGTGATTTGCTTACCTTCCCTATTCTTTGCGCTCCTATCGTTGTTTTGCATTGCTTGTGAAAATAGAGCTTCATAGCCCATCAGATTCCTACCTCCAGTCTCAATGAAGATTCTTAATTCTAATGAGTGGCAACAATAATTGCCCTGAACGTGTCACGGCCTTTACACATTTGCACCGCAACTGTTGTAACCGCAAAGCCAAGGTGCGAGCGTGAAGTGCACGTGTGAAATTCAAAAACTCTTCCCAGAGCGCTCCCGAGTGAAGAGCTACATTTATCACAATTACGATGATGTATTATTTATCTCGCGCCTCGCACCTGCGCAGCTAGACGTGTTCTGACATTGAAAATCCACGCACGGGTAACGTAAAAATAGAAATTCGCACCACAGTAGGCATCGACAATATAGAAATGGTAAATCAAAAGATAATCAACTCAAACTAAAACTATACTTTTTTTTTTACCAGCTAAGACCCACTGAGCTATGTAGCTCTTTTTCAGGAGCGACCCGGCCACAAATGGATAACTCAACTTAGTGGCTTATCAAGTGGAGATTTATATCAGCCAAATACTCTCAACGCATGCTCGTAAAAAAAATCCACGTGACCACGGAGAGAGAGGGGACATGCAAAGTCCAAATCATACAGGCTTCAGGATCGGGATCGAACCCATGACCCTCCTGCATACCAGGCGAGGGAGTTAACATCTCGCCACTGTGGCGCCCAAGATATCGCCGGTCCTAGCAATCAAAGGAGAGTCTGATAAAATAGGCATTGAAATTAATTGTGAATATTTAAATAAAATAAATTCGTGTAAAAAAATCCCCAACGTTATCCCTATTGTGCTATCATCATGGTGCCGTCACGAGATGCAGAATCCGTTGAGAAACCTCACACAGCGGTGCATCCATTCGTGTTAGAGAGCGGGCAGCGGAAGTGGATATCGCACCACTACCACCAAGATCCTTTCAAATGACCTCATGACCACGCACAGTCCAAGGTAGTGCGTCCCCACCCACTCTGCCATACGACAGCAACGTTTGTCGCAAGACAGTCAATCCGACATTCGGTTCATGGCGCTAAAACGTATCCTGATTAAGCGCAGAGCTACATTTTACGCGATGGCTTTTTTAATTCGGACATTGGTGACCTGGCCGAGGGCATCAAATGGTTGCACTCGAGAACCCGGTTTAATGACGAGCGTCCGGGACCCCGGATTTGAACCCAGAATCTCAGAGCGAAGCCTGCTTGGCGCTCCGACCTGCGAGCCGGGCGGCCTCATCAACGCTCATTGAATTTTGGCACCGCTGAGGCAGAACTGAAATTCTCGCGTGGGTGCATGTGCGATAAGATAATTAGTCACATTTTAACTTCATTCGGCATCGACAACGCACGACGGCAGACCGGCAACACCTGCTGTCCATGCTGCTGCTGCTGCTGCTGGCCTGCCACTGCTGCATGTTTGCTGCTGCTGCTGCTGCTGCTGCACGGGCCACCCGTTCTACAGCGAGCGGTTGGTACAGAGTCAACATCTGTGAGCGTCACACCTGTAGGGTGCCGTAGTGGTGAGATGGTGTCTCCCTTGCCTCATATGCAGGAGTGCGTGGGTTTGATCCTGACCCTGACGCATGTATATTTGGAGTTTTTTTTTTTCCCTCCACATTCAGATACATGCGTTTAGAGCATTTGGCTGCTACTATAAATTTGTATGTGATAAGCCACTTCGTTGAGCTATCATTTGTTGCCAGAGCAATTCTGAAAAAAATTGCTAATTGCTCAGTGGGCTTTACCTGATAAATAAAATAGTTTCGTTTTAGTACTCACAGAACCATTCACGATCGTGTTAAGTTCCCACTCCTAATTCGCGGTTAGACCTTTGCGGCCGTCAGAGGAGGGCGAATTAAACGGCGGACCGTTGACGATGAAGTCACACGCTCAAAAGCCAGACCCACATGTACGTATGTTGAACTTCTTTGGCACCATACGTAGCAAACCGCGCTATTCGGAGGTATGAAAGTCGATACGTGAATTCTAACCAAGGCTGCGGAAACCTCAAATTCAGTATCGCTATCTTGGTTCTTTCGGTAAAGTCACGTAGAAGGGAAATAATAAAATAATAAAAATATAACATAATAAAATACAATTCTCACGACCTTTCGGCCACAACGCAAGCAGCCGTCCTCCTGCTTGCGTTGCGGCCAAAACGTCGTGAGAATTTTATCTTATTATGTTTCATTTTTATTATTTTATTATTTCCCTTCTACGTGACTTTACCGAAAGAACCAAGAAGGTGAATCCCTGCAGTCACGAAAGCTTTAAATCGAAATTCAATATCGCTATTCGTCCGTGCGTGCGTGCGTGCGTGCGCCTCCTCACCGGACGCGGCGATGGGCTGAGTGTCGAGCTTCCTCTTGGTCTCGCCGAGCGCCGACTCCAGGCTCTGCACCTTCTGCTCCAGTCTGGTTTTCTCCGTCTCCAGGGCCTGCACCGTGCTCTGCAGATCCCGTGCCGCGTTGCCTGCACTGCGCAGGGCTGACAGCTGCAGGAACACAAAGGGGTACAACAAAATCACGCACGTGCCGTGATGGGTGTCCCCATCCAGTGCATGCCGCGCTGCATTGGCTTCCGGTTGCTGAACGAATACACGAGGAGGTCGCACTCATTGTACACACAAAGTGCTTGCCACAAATGAAGCACAATACCTTGCTTATCTCGTCAAGGAGCGGAAATCATCATGCGAACCCAGGTCATCCTTGTAGTGGCTTACGGCTTAGCCATCGAACAAAGACGGTGACTGCATCGTGCGCTTTCATATGCGCTCCTGTGGCCATCTGGAACGCTCTTCCTTCCAATATTAGGAGACCACTTGAACTGTGCACGTTTAAATCGAGATTGAAAACTAATTTTTTTTTACAGCGTTTTGTGTTTCTTTTGTTTTCTATCCTCTGCACCTCCAATTAGCATGGTTGGCTATGTACAGTGCGAAAGAAGTTCAACATAGATATATACATACACACGCATGGGATTCCGGAACATTCTAGAACGCTTTTGTGCTTGATGGTATTTTTTTTTATAATGAAGTCTATGTACAGTATAGAAAATGGGTGTTCCCTGCTTTAACGCATCAGAAATGAAGACAAATAATCGTTTTTTTTGTGCAGTCGTTGGGTTACCAGGCTGAGAAAGATCAGCTTGATAAACTTGAGAAGCCAGTTTAATCACAAGCTGGTGAAATCTGAATTTTAAACCCAGGGTCTCAGTGTTGCCAGCTAAAGTGCAGACATGGCCTTGCGCCGCCTGGCAACCTTAAAAATAATAAAAATTATAAAGCAATTCACAACGGGCGCAATATTTCACGGGGCATAAGTGACCGCGACCCTGAGGAGTGGACACTGGACGGACGATGAGGCCGAGTCAACGGGCCCCAACGGGGAGTTGAACTCGCAACCTTCCTCCTGCGAGCCGCTCGCCGTCCCCCCTCCGATCCACGCGGACCCGCACGGTTCCATCGGATACAAGCAAGCTGAAGTGCAATGTCTCATGCATGCAGAGACCATGTGGCTAACGACACGAGCTTCCTTTTGATGCAGGGTCTCTGATTTCCAGGCATGGGCCAAATAGTTCCTTGGTTAAATGTCTCAAGCCACGCGCAAAGACAAAGATCCCCGTATAGCCTTTCAACAGAATCTTGGGGCAAGCGCTGTTAACGAGCAGCACCTATGAAGGCCGGCACGCCACACTATGGGGTGGGTTACCAGGCGCCGCTGTGCATACAGCACACCAGGTACTCACTTAAGGCCGAGTCACCCTAGGGGAGCCGCATGAACGGTTCAGATAATCATCACCGATGTTGGCCGTGGCCGGAAATCGAACTCGGGTCGCCGGACTCGTAGTTCGGCACAGTGAACCACTGTACTACTACTGCTGCTCAGCGGGAAGCCATCCACATGCACGCACGCACAGCGCTGGCAACGAAGACCGAGAGATACTAGAACAGATTGAGGCAGAGCGAACAACTTAGAGGCAGCCAGATTAAAGCATTTTGGCAAATCCCACTCGGTTTCACTGGTAATGCGTTTTAGTGGCAGTATCCAGACAGTGATTTATACCGGGGATATTAAGTTGTACCCGCCGGGGCACTTTTAAACAAAAGGAAGCAACGGTAAAGCGTGCGAACATTCACCCCACCTCCCCCACCCTCCCACGGAGTGATTAGATAAGAAGTTACAATTCAGGGTTATTACTCGATTCAAGAATCCATTCTCTTTGGTCAAATCATCTCTTGGTGTCGTTTCTTGAGTTGTTTTTATTCATCCCGTCTTGATAGCACGATGACCAAAACAAACAAATCAGTGCAGTCAAGTTCTTGTCAGATCTTGGTAGCTAAGTAGGATTTGAGCCTGGTTAATACCACGTGTTGTAGGTTGAGGCTACAAGGTGGTCAGGAGATAGCAGTAGAGGAATCGATTCTTAAACGTATCCGTGCGGAGGCTTGAATGTTGCAACCTCGTATGGCGTGGTCGGTCTTCTCTGGGTTAGCCTGTGTAAAAAGCTCCTGAAAAGGTGTCCTCGAGACTGGCACCAATTTTCCACTAGCACACCCGAGCCAAGCTGGCACGGCGCCCTCACGGCACAATGGGAGGTTTTTCCACCGGCTGTCTGCCGTGCCGAGCCAGAGTCAAACCGTGCTCCACTGACCTCACGAGAAGACATCCGAATCTGGATCGCAGCAAAGTAGAGCCAGGGGTGGGGCTAACGACGCGTTCGTTGCGAGTGACGTCAGCGGCTCTCGGCTTCTGCGGTCGACGAAACGCAACCCCCGGTCGCCCCTTCAGCCGCGTCGGACTTGCCTCGGCTACGGCTCGGATGTGCAGTGGAAAAAGGCAGTATCGGCTCAGGCTTTTTGCTGGGTAAACAAATGTCGTCCACGATACGACGGACTCCGGAAGCCGTGGCCGCGCCTCGCTCACCTCGGTCTTCAACTTGTCCAGCTCGCGGTCCCTCCCGGAGATCTTGCTCGACGTCAGGTCCAGGGTTTTGCGCAGCGACGATCGCTCCTCCTCAAACTCGGCCACCAGGGTCGACTCTCTAAGCGAGGGGGCCGGGAGAGGGGTTGAAGATGAGGAGGGAGGAGGAGGGAGGAGGAGGGATGGGGAGGGGGGAGGAGGAGGGAGTCACATGTGAGAGCGAGCGTACGTAGGCAGTGGCGGGGGCGATGAAGGATGCAAAGGGACGGGACAGAGACAACAGCAAAACCAGAAGCGCGTAAAAACTGCGGGCGGTACACGGATGCAACCGCAGGGGCAATCGTCACTGGCAATAGTTGCCACGGCATTCTTAATTTCCCGAAAACAAGATGTGTGCGGGCATGCATCAAAATGCATTGATGTTCTGTGCTTCCATGCTACCCACATTCATCAACCCGCGCTGCAAAGAGGGGCGAGGTATGGTCAAATAACCACCGCAATTCCGCACGGGGTGGGGAGACCCTCATACAGCAGTGAATGGGGGGAAGTGCTGTTAATATGGAAGGGTTTCCTGTTCAACCGAGGACAACCCATCCCCACTTGATAACAGCCCGAAAGCTAGTGGCAAATATTCCACATTCCTATGATGGGTGCGAGATATCCATCGGAACATCACCGTTTTATTCCCACATAGGAGCTCGAGTGTAATTGACCCCCAGAGAGATGATTGGCTGAGCCTCCTCTCAACTGTGAGTCGATATGTTGCATATTAAAAGCAAAATGGAAATAAATTATGGTGATGTACAGCCCTTTGTCAATCCACTGCTGGATGAAAACGTCTCCTACACCGTCTCGATCGTGAGGGGGGGGGGGATTGTTTTAACTATACTTCACCGCACTGATCAGCGCAGATTGGTGAAGAGTCAGGGGTTAGGACCGCTCCAGATTATCGCTCGCCACCACCGTTAGCCACGGCCGGGAATCGAACTCTCTTCACCAAGGCTCATATTGGAACGTGCTAACCACTAACCACTGAGCCGTCGAGTTCTATATAGAAAGGGCATGATGTGCTGCCTTAAGAGCAAGCCGGTCCCAACGTTGTGCTCTGTGGACTGCTAGTGAACGCAGAACTGTTGCAGATGCTACGGTGTTTAACATTGTGAAATAAATGTTATTGGCACACGGTGGTCCCGTGAAAATGATTTGAGGGTTGACGGCGGTTTCGCGGGTCTAGAGAGGTTGGGGTAACTCTGCTGCCTTAGGGTATAAGGTAGGCAAGCCCGAAGGTTAAGAGTAAAACACGTTTTGAAAAAACGTTACGTAAATTTCACTTCGACTCTTAATTGGGTGAAGCCAGACGCACAGCGCAAACGTACTTGCGTGTGCATATGCGCACGCACGCACACGGATGGACGCGAGCACGTGGATAACATCGGCGTGCTATGCAGATCCACAGCCGACAACACAACGTCTGTCGCAGCAACGCGCAATGGCAAATGCATGCACGCAGCCACGCGCTAGGGATGCAACGATTTTGACTTCCAGTGTGGTGGATTTTGACAATCCGCGGGTGGGCGGGGAGGGTTACAATTCATGACTCGTGTATCCACCATTATTCTGCGCGTGTCGCGTTTACAGTAAAAATGCGCAGCGCCTGCAATTGCTCGCCCACACAAGTGCTGGCGGAAGGGGCCTCTCTCCAGGAGAGAACGTTCGAGACAAGCCACATCTTAAAGATGGAATTTTTTTTTAGCCTACTCTTCCACGCTGGCCGGACATGATTAAAGGAAGGGAACGCGAACCCTTTACCACACCGCGCGTGACGAGCCGATCGACTACAGATGTTGGGCGCAACCCATTTATACCCGCTGTAATTTACGGCTGCAAAAAAAAAATATAACAAATCGGAATCAATTGATTCTCGAGTATTCACACGGGCAGGTGGTTTTTGGTGCACGCATCGCGGGCGCCGATGGTCGATCCGAGCCGACGGACCATTAAAACGCTACATCCCTAACGGGTGGGTAGCCCCGACTCGAGCACGTAACGGAGACGGGAAAGACGTCAGTCAGGCATCAGCAAGCCAAGTGAGCAATCAGAAAGCGAGCGAGCGAGAGGCGGCTACCAGGGGGCAAGCAATACGGTACCTTAGAGCATTGCATGGGAGGCTTTGAGTTGTAAATGAAAGGTTAATGCAGACGCATCAGTGCAAAGTAAAGCCAAAGCGGATCAACAAAAAACCTTGGCGCCGCGCAGCGCAAGACTACATCGCGCCTTATCGAACCCCGCCGATGGGGATTAAGCGCAAACTGATGTCTCGTATCGCCGGCTGAAAGGGGCACTGTATGTGAGCACGCGTGAGCCAGGTCCATCACGGAAGGGGTGGGGGTGGACAGCTTTCTCGCCGACCAAATGTGAAGCTTTGCAGATATATTTGCAGTTATATATTTGTACACGCACACAAGCGCGCAAGAAATTTCCAATTGAAATTATGTTTCCAAAAATGGCCCGGGGATACACCGGTCTGTCTCGGGAGGTTGTCGCCTTGCCAGATTGAGAGTGCGGGGAGGTGAGAGGCAGGGATGGTGTACAGTTGGCGGTGGTCTGTCGACAATGGGTTCAAGTTTTATTGGCGCACGGTTTTGAGTTTCTGGCGGAAATCAAAGCAAAATCTCGGGGCTGGATTGTTTACTCTGCCAGCTAGCTCAGTATATGAAATGATTCTTGGGCAGGATCGTCTGCTAACCCCCTCCCCTCCCACCATCATCTGCCCACTTTGCCCCCAAACCCCCCCGACTCCCCTCAGGGTCTAATGATGCTCCCGAGTAAGGCTGCCGTGTACCCCGCAGGACAAAGCTCTTTGTAATCTTCAAAGCACAACCACAGCGTCGACAGAATTAATAGTTTGGAAGGAAAACGTCGGCACGGAAAGCGGCGCGCGGATATTAAATAATACTTATACGTGTGTGTCTAATGCGGCCGAGATGGGTGAATAGAAGAATGCTAATTCACCGGCAGGAATATTCACCCTCCCCCCAACTCCCCGCCGCCCCCCCCCCAACCCACTCGCCCCACACCCCCCAGGGCGCCTACTTAAAAATGCGCAACAATTCCTGCTTCATTTGCGCAAGAGAAAGAAGTAATTATCGCGCTTTGGCGAAACGGCTTTGCGCAAGTAGCGGCTTCTTGGCTGCTCGCGATCGTCGCCCGACACGCGCTCATCTCTCGATTTCCATTTTTTTTCTGACGACCTTTAAAAAGCCTGCAAATCGGTGCAGTTCAAAAAATATGTAAACCTTTCGAAAACAATTCGTAAACAACGCGACAGTTGTTTTATGCACGAATATAAAATTGACAGGAAATACGTCGGACCGTTAAGAGATCGTCGGGTTTGTCTTTCCATTGCGGTCTTCTGCCATGAAATTTCATCTGTAATATTAACCGTGGGTGTTGATTTAAAAGATGTAAAAAAATAATATATAAAAAAGCCAGTCCCTACGGCTTTCTAAAAAAGGCCCTCCTACCGATTTTCAATCAGCGTCGTTGAGATGCGGTCGCATTTAACATCCAAATCGTGTTTTACAAAAGGCGGTTCTGAAGTCAAAGTGCCGATATACAGTGTCCTTTTAAAGCCCTTACTATTACCAGCCAACGGCCATGCCCACTCACCGACGACCACTGCTCCATTGGGCTTGGATCACAATCAGAACCAGAAATATCTTCATAACTCTGATCATAATCAAGAGCTTAAAATCTGTACGCAACATCCGCCAGCACGGACTAGCATCTCTCTTCAACATCTCGTAACACCCCCTTGCCCATCCACATTTGCACCTTACATTTGTGTCGTTGTCGTTGTTGTTATTAATTACCCAGCGGAATTCCTCGTACCGCCAAAACGCGTTTGAAGTTAGCGCCCCCCCCCCCTCACCCACCCGCCCCGACTCTTAATTTAATCCGCTGGCAAAACCACACGCCGGGTAGAGCAACGTGGTGGCGTAGCAGCAGCAGCATTAACAAACTGCTCGTCACTTGATATAAAACATAAAACGTCAAATATTTATGGTGGTGGCAAGGCGAACAAAAAAATGTAATGTACAGATTTTTTTTCTCGCTCTCTCTCTCCACACATAAATTTGGTTAAAATCTATCTCTGTCCTGGTTGTGATCAAAGCAGTCGGCGGAGGGATCATCAAACAGGCAGCAGGTCTAATGATTATGCTGAGAGACAGGTGCCGGCGGGCGGGGGGTGGGGGGGGCGAGCGTAGGACAGGGGGACTTTATGGGAGTGTGTTATAATTGAAGGGAGCCATTAGGAGAGTACAGCTTGGGGTTGACTTTTTTCAGCCTTACCACAGAAAGACACAAAACGCGTACGGGGGGGGGGGGGGGCAAAGAACGGCAAAGAGAGAGACACACACACACGGAACACATCTTGCATCACGGACACAGGCCCCACAGCTAAATCAGATCACCCGACAGCAGCAGCAGCAGACGAGCTCAGATGTTACTCATGGCCGACGTGATGCTAAGACCGCTCTTTACATCTGGCTGTGTGACCGGTGACCTTCATTGCAGACATTCGATGAGTTCACCATTGGAATCTCTCCTTTGCCAGTAGCAAAATATGATAATTGTTTTTTTACCCTTTTATCTGGCAGATAAAAGGGTAAAAAAAAATTATCATTCGATGAGTTCGATGAGTTGGTCCACAATTCGTGTTCATGATTTAGATCATAGTAATAATAATAATAAATATATATTTTCTCGCGTCCCATTTTTAGCATCTCGTTTGCATCGTTCCGTCATTATTCAATTGGTTCTTCCATGCGGTTTAGTTTGCTCGATTAGACGAGATGGAACGTGCGTCTGTCATTTGCACGTTATTCGCTCCTCCGACTTGCATCCAATTGTTCAAATTGCTTATATAACTTAATTCGCTGTCTTCCACGGCTCTTCGTTGGTACCTAGAATTTTCCCCATTCGGAATCGCATTTACAGTCAATCTCTTGTCTTTCGAATTGCATGCCCAATAAATCAAATTCCGCCTTTCTCCAATTGCTCTCACGAATCTTCCTTTTATTTGCACACACCGTAATTATTTACGTGCCCAATTTGATGCACATACCACTCGCCAGCTAAGAAATATATTTATATCGATGCACCCTTCCATGTCTCAGTATATTAAAACACCAAGGCATCTGCAATTAATTCGTATGAAACACATAGCTGCAAGATTCACATTTAATAACTGCTCCTGCAGATACTATTTGTATATTATTAAAATGTTTTTGCTTTGTTGAACCATCGTCTCATACCATACATTTTGTGCACAGATATCAAATATATTTGTGCAGTACAGTACTTTGGAATGTATCCCAAGTCTCCCTTGCAAGATACTTATTTTGAATAAGCTCTCACCTGGAATGTGTAATAATAAATAGATATATTTCACAAATAAATGATTCACAAGTTTTTATCGTTTTGCTGCTGGGTGAAGTTCTCTCCACGGCACGGTGGTTGTCTGACAATACTTTACCGCGCAGGTCAACGGCGCTCGCCACTCACGCTGCCCGGGAATGAAACCGAGGCAACCGGGTTGATGGCGTGGTGGGCTAACCACCGCTCCACTCATGTACGTGTCACATGTTCCGGATTCTGTTCGTATTGACCCAAGGTTTGTGTCACACACGTGTGTCCCCCCCCAGTTTTGGGGGGGGAAGCCTGCTTGGAATGACACAAACAGCGGCAGCAGCAGGGCAAAGACGGCTATGCCATACTGATGAGGCCTGATAAGCACGAAAACCCGGTATGCGCCAAACTTCTAGATATTTTTCACCGGTGGCTATTACAGGCTGCGTGCACAATGTATGCAGGAATGGTGATGTTCATCTTGACATGCAAAGCATGCTGGGGTTTTATATCGTGATTTTGCAGTCGAAAACCACATTATTATTATGATCATTTTGTTTCCAGCCCGTGCAATTTTTTTACGGATAATTAGTTTTGCTCGTGGGGAGCGGTAGTGTAGTGTTTAGCGAGCTGCGCTATGAACCCGGTGACCTGAGTTCTGTTCCCACTTACGGCCACTAACAACCAGTGATGATTATCTGAACCGGTCCTGGGCTTCCACTCGATCGACTCAAATGCTTCCCCGCTGCAGTGTATAAATATCATCACTGGGAAGACAAAGGTGGGTGGGCGTGGTGCTGGCCACCCACCCCCTCGTGTGCCGTGCGGCCTTCATAGGTGCTCGCGAACGGCACTTGCCCCAACAGCCTTGTTAAAGGCTATACGGGGGATCTTTTGTTGTCTCTGTGTATGTGTAGTAACATCGGGGATGTCACTATATGGTGCCGGCCCATGAGGGTCGTGGCGCGCGACGTACTTAGGGCGCGGGTTGCTGTGTGAGGCCGGCTCGAGCACAGCACGACATGCGATGCACCGTCATCGCGTACAACCCGTGGGTGGGTGTAGTACCAGCCCTAGCGGGCTTGGTGAGCGCTGGGATAGCGCGGGCACCACGCAAAGCGTGCAGTGCGGGCTCCCACAATGGGGAGCGGGAGAGTGTCAGCCCAGGGACAGGGTTGCCCCGGGCCATGGCACTCTGGTTGACCCCGTAGACACGTGATCCGGAGTGTCCACAGAGAAGGCCCCAGCTGGGGGGGGGCTAGGGGGTGATCACGTGTCCGGGGAGAGCTCTCGAGAGGGATCGAGAGGGAGCTAGAAGGCTCGAGAAGGCGGGCGGGGCCGAGGGCGGAGCCAGCCCCGACCCGGGAGGATAAAAGGTGGGTCCCTGAGAGGGACCGGGGTTGCTGCATTCTACAAGCTGGAAGCTCTACGTCTACAAGCTGTAAGATCTACGTCCAACGAGGCATCAACACGTGGCCGGGGACCCGAGTGAGGGTCCGACCCTTCGTAGCTGTAACTCCGACGTGTAGTGTAGTTAGCTGGGTGGTCACCACCCCAGGCTGTATCTGGTAAAGGGGCAGTTACCCCTTTGTAAAAACGTGTTACGATAAATGTGTTGCCTCTAAAGAATAACGTCTGCGACTCAGTTGGACTCACTACATATGCAAACTCAAGGTGCAGTGATCAAAGCACTGAAATGGTTATGGAAATCATTACATTATGCCAGAGTTATAAACAGCGAATTACTTCCAAGAACCACGATGCCTTTCTTGGAACAGAACGCAAGCACCAAATCGCAAGCGCCTCTATTAAGACATATATTTATATTTGAAAACAGCAAATTTGCCAATAACACTGGAAAAAGCACGCATGGCAGAGAGCCAATGCCAGAAACGTTAACTATTATAAATGCATTGTCCGTTCATCATGGCAAAACAAAAAAATTTACGCGCGCAAATTTCGCGAAACGGACCGAACGTTGTTCCATCAGGATCTCGGGGGAGGGTTTTTTTTATTTATTTTTAGATTCGTAGCAGTTTTCTTGAGAAACACCTCGAGATTTAAATGTTGATGTACGCACCACCGCCAACGCGGCACCACCAAAAAAAACACGCGTGTGTGAGGATACGCACGGCAACATTTGGCGCACCGCAAACAGCTGGGGGTGCGGTGCGTACGTGTCGGCAGAAAGCGTGCGCGCACGTAAGTGGTTTGATACTGATGTATCGAGGTCAAGCGCAGAATCTCACTTCAAAACTAAAGCTCCTGTACGCAATTAAATATAATCATTGGAAATGAATGCAATTTGCACGCTCTAACGCGGAAAAATGGACTTAATTAATGGTACAAATTATTCCAACCCAAGTCTTTTCATTGCCATTAATTAATAACCATTGCAAATTCTGCCCATACCTCAAACCCCCACCCTCCCACCCCACAACGGCCTTCCATCCCCCACCCCTCCAACCCACCCCCCCCCCCAGTCCATAAAATAAATCCCACCTTCTTTTCATGTCGAGCAGCTGCTGATTGAGAGTCGATTTCTCCTCGTCAAGCTGTTGGGAAGACACGAGATCACGTAAAGTTGCGTTAAGCACGAGGAAGCCGACTGCGTGGCGGCCGCGCGGCGACGAGTGGCGACAAGTGGCAACGCGTCCGGACGGCCGCCCTCACCCCCACGGCACGAGAGCCTGACAATCCCAATGGGCGCCAGCGGCGAATCGGCACCACCGGCGAATCGGCGCCAGCAGTCGAAGCCACAGGGGAGAAGGAGCGATCGGTGGCGAGTTGGGGGGGTGGGGGGGGAAACACGAGCGCTACGGCCCGTGAGCCTGCGCGCGTGTCAACCCTCCGCACCGCCCGCGGTCCACTCACGCACAAAGCCAACAAAAGGGCCGCATCGCACGGATAATTTTTGAATGATTGTCCATACTTCACCACGCTGGTCAGCGCTGGCTGTTGAACGGTTCGGGTGTGGGAGGGGTGGGGGTGCGTGCCCTCGAGCGGTTAAGGTGCGTTCGACATGTCCGCCACCGATGTTAGCCATGGTCGGGAATAGAGCTCAGGTTGTCAGGTTAGGAGAGCAGTTTGCTAACCCCTTGTGGCACCGCTCCATCTAATGATTCATTACGTGGCTACAAATTAAGTTACACAGACAGGCCTGTTCTCATTCCACTGCTGGATGAGGGATTTGCACTGATCGCCTGGTTATGGCAGTAAAAGCAAAAGGACTGCGATATCAATCTGTGCAAGAGCGTGGTGGGTTTTATCCGGGTTCATCCGGTCTCATCGCGCTCACGAAACAGAACTGGCCAAACGTCAACAATGTAGTGGGAGAAGAGAAGTCTTGGAGACTCGGTGAGGCTTTCCTGGGTAAATAAAGGACATTTTCTGGTTATAAATATTTATATTCGTTTCCCCAGTGGGTCATGCACACAGCAGGCAGCCACAGGCAAGTGTGGGGAGCAATAGTGGCGGTGGTGGCAGTACACACATCATCCGAACGCACTGTGAGAAGCACAACACTTATCACATTCTGGCAGCGGCTTTCGCGTTAATTTTTTTTTGTTCCTCATCATTAATTGCAAAACCAGCTATTTAATGAGTACACGTTGTACGCACGTTTTGCAATCCACTGCAAATTCCGCGGAACAATTAATTCGGTTAAAAAACGCCAAACTGCAAACGACTTTGGGATGTAACGTGTGATTATGGGTTTTTGTTACTTGTGAAGTATACGCTGTAAGAAATGTTTTCCCATAAAAAACACAATGAACTATTTATGGGGAGGGGCTGTTTGCAATTACAATGCAATACAATTTGGGGTTATGCATACAATGCAATTATAATTATCCAACTTTAGTCCAAATTTGCGTTGCTATCTGAGACTTGGCCAACAGAAAAATCCGTGAAATTGGTTAAAAAAATGAGCCAGAGTAAAAAATACACTACTCGAGTATTCACCACCATCTTCCTGACTGCCAGTTAAACAAACTATTTAAACAATTTCACATTTTCTGAAGCATGTTTAAAGATTATTCCATAATCCATGCATATGCATGATTGTTCTGCCTTGATTTCCTCTGCCAATGACCGACTGGCATGCCTAACTGCCTACCTGCCTCTCCATAAACCAAATAACGGCCACCGTTTCTGCAAAGGATCTCGACATGCGGTCGCGCATACGGGTGCCGTATAATTCCAGTGGCGTAGCTGTTACTATTGTTCCCATCATCATTCTGCCGCAGCGGCGCTTAAGAGCCGCGTGCGGTAAAGCGACGTCGTTTTGGCTGCGAGGATGCCAAACAACGACAACGATGCACGGCGCCCGCCGCCGTTTCGAATTACAAAAAAAACATAGGCTGTCAGACATTTTGTAAAACTGAAGGGGACTGGACGCCCGTGTTCAAATAATTACAGTGATTTTTAAGAAACGTGCAAAGATTTAGAAAAGGTCAGGCACGCGCGTGCTAATGGGAAGGTGTTGTAAGAACATTGCGATTTTCTTTTTCGACCTCGCACGTTTCAGCATCAGGGCAAGTGGAGGAGGGGGTTGCGGGGGTCAGTATTAGAGCAGCGGAAACGGGCAATACTTTGACTGGTTTTAATACTAAATGAATAGGCGAGGGCCTGTTTCGCGGTGTTGTTTGTGGTCCATCGGCCAATGAGGCTGCTGCACCAATGTTTTCCAGCAGCATTCGTTTAAGCAGACACGAGTCTTATCAGCAGAGATTGGCCAGTTAGGGCGGTGATGTGGCCCATCGGTGGCGCGTTCGTCGCCTGTTGCAGAGGCTCACGGTTCCATTCAGTGGCAGCCCCTGATCATTACCGCGGTTATAATAACCATAAATAACACTCCGTGCCATCTGCTTCACTCACAGTGGACTTCAAATATCCCCATGATGTCATTCGAAAGAGCAGGCTAATGTGTTCCATCAGCGTCAGGGTCCAAATTTGCCAATTTCGAAAATTGCACCGCTAATTACTCAATTGGGATTCTACACACACACAACAGCAATGATCTTTGAACCCTATTGGCAGTGGTCTCTGGCTTCTCACACCGGTAACATAAAATAAACTTAGAAATTGCACTAAACATTGCGAGGTTGCCCAGCGATTTAGACAAGAGCATTCTCGGAATTTTCGCAGTGCCAATTATGAAATTTAAAAAGCTAAATTTTTTTTCCGACATTCCTGCTCCTCCGCATCTCCGACGCGTGTTCAGCTCGTGTCACGTGCTGTTTGGCGCAACTTCCAACGTGTCTCAGTTCTTTCGGCAAAGTCACGTAGGTAAAAAATGAAATTAAAATTAGTAAAAATAAAATTACTGTTTTATTTTCATTAATTTTAGGTAAAAAATGAAACTGAAAATTAATAAAAATAAAATTATTGTTTTATTTTTATTCATTTTTATTTCATTTTTTACCAACGTGACTTTGCCGAAAGAACTAAGAGTATGAATCCTTGTAGTCACGAAAGCTTCAAATCTAGAATTAGTCCAACGTGTCGCTCTGCGTGCCGGAAGCTTCTCCGGTTTTCTGCTACCGGCGCGTGCAGCGAACACGACAGATTAATTCTAGATGTGAAGCTTTCATAACTGCAAGGATTCATACTCTTAGGTTTTTTCGGTAAAGTCACGTAGGTAAAAAAACAATAATACAAATAAATAAGCGTTTAACAGCACTGGCTTTTTTGTATTTCGATTGTCAGCCAACACCGGTTACAACCCGAAGTCGAGGTACACTGATTGTTCTCTTTTAGCCCCGCCCACCCCCCCCCCACACGTCCCATTCACTGGCTCCCACAACATTCAGATAAGCCCCCCCCCTCCCCCCTTAACTTGTATTTAAGAGCTTGTCTCTTGGAATTTTGCCTCACTTGATACAGTAAATTTTAGCTGTGACGGTCCCACCTGAAGACGGAGACTTGTGTTGCCTCCGAATCGTCGCGATTTATTATTTTATTTCTATTATTATTTCTATTATTGATTTTTATTATTTATTTTTACCTACGTGACTTTACCGAAAAAACCTAAGAGTACGAGAGATCAACGTCAACATGCGGTACAACACGGGAGAGAGCGACACGTCGGGACAGACGCGCGGCACCAACCGCGAACACCCAACACGGTCGTGCCCCCGATACCAACGGCAAAAAGCAATGGCACGGGAAACAGGCGAGCACGGCTGAGTGCGCCTGCAAGGTGCGATCGTTACCATGTGACAGACAGGCCCCGTGTCTTACCTTCTGGCCGAGCAGCTCGCCCTGTTTCACCTGTGCCAGCTCTGACACCAGCCTCTCTTTCTCTTGCTCCAGTCCAGACAACTGCACTTCCTTCTGGGACACGCTTGCCCTCAATTCTTCGCTGCACGGAGAGAAGGCGGCGATAAATAAGTGATAGCCACGCGCTCAAGAAAGATTTCCCTTTGCGAAAAAAAGGAATCTCTTAGGCCGGGGTCCATGCTAGCCCAAGCAATTAGACGTGCGAATCTGCTTCTTCTACAGCGAGGAAGCGGTTGCGTAACTGCTCGCAACTGGCTGCAAAGACGTCCGCATGAGGAACTCCTCTTGCTCGTCATGCAGCTATCCCTGTGCAGCACGGTCTAGCAAGCGGGCATTAAGTCTGCCAGTAAGTCGGCGGCGACGTTGCTATGCACCTTCCCCAGACCAAGTAATTTGCGAGTGCTCGATCACATTCGGACCAACGACAGTGAAAAACTCACAGCTGAGCGGTGAGCCCCACAATCCTCTGGTTGCTGCCATCGTCGCGCTCTCTCCCCGTCTCTCGCTCCTGCTGACTCAGCTGCTTCAGTCTCTCCAGCTGCGGATAAACACATGCACGCGAAGAGCAAAGGCACGCTGCAGTAACATGCGCACGTATGTTCCCACCCCCCCCCCTCCTGTCAATCTACTGCTGGATGAGGGCCTCCGCAATGCCGTGCAGGACGGCAGCTTAGCTCGGGTTGGTGAATGAGGCAGGGAGCATGGATTAGGGGACGTAGAAGTATATTACAACTGCTGTACTGCCCTCTGCTGTCCGCCATGCAGCCCTGCTGACGTTAGTCGGAACGCCTCTCATGTAAAGTGGTCGCCCACCCAAGCATTATGCAGCCTTAAACCAAATTTCGATTTAAAGCTTTCGTGACTGCAGGGATTCATCTTCTTGGTTCTTTCGGTAAAGTCACGTAGAAGGGAAATAATAAAATAATAAAAATAAAAAATAATAAAATACAATTCTCACGACGTTTAGGCCACAACGCAAGCAGCCGTCCTCAGGTGAAGAACAGACTTTACCGAAAGAACCAAGAAGATGAAGCCTTAAACCAGTTTAGCTTCCGAGACTGGACGAAATCCGACGCATTAAGTGTTGCAGCAAAATGTTTTGCAACTGGTTTATTCCAACTGTGCTACGGGTGTCATGTCAAGCGAGGAAGCAACCATTAAGATCTCTCACAAAGCAGTGACACCTCCGTGTAAAGAAAACGGCTCGTGGAAGAAGATATCACAGAACGACTTCTGAGAACCTCTTCAAGTGACCTGCGGTCCAGTTGGTGGGTGCCAGCACTCATCTAACCCGGCCTGCCGCAGAGAGCAACGTTAATCTCGTGACGCATCAAACCGATATTTTCACTTCTCAGCAGGTTGAATTTGACCAAATAATGACCACAATCTAATTCAGTCGAATCGTTTTTTTTCTGGAGAAATCATTGGTGGTGGGGGCTGGAAACATCAACTTGCTATGCTTGGCAGCAACCTGGTTTAGTCGGGAGACATGGTGACGAGATGTTTACTTACTTTTCCTTGGTATACAGGAGGTCATTGGTTCGATCCAGACCCTGACGCCTAGATATTTGGAGTTTTAATTTTCTCCCCGTGGACGCGTGGATTTTTTTTCCAGGTCGTCTGGTTTTTTTCTCCACATTTATAATCAACATGCGTTCAGAGTATTTGGCTGCTATACATTTCCATGTGATAAGCCATTTATTTAGTTTAACTCTCATTTGTGGCCAGGTCGTTTCTGAAAAAAAGCTATATAGTTCAGTGGGCCTTACCTGCTAAAATAAAAAAATAGTTTAGTTCCATATTCCAAGTGGGGACCCTCTGAGCCACGCCAGGCCAGCCCAACATTTGCGAACGCTCAAATCGTGCACGTACACATACACAAATGCACGCGCCATTTAGTGTAATTGGCTTAGCCTCTATGGACACAAATCTTCCCGAACTCCCATCCGCCTTCAGCGAACATTACATGCGATCCAAACCGTTCACGGTCTGGCTATAGGCCGTAACATTTAATAGTAATAATGAACGTAAAGTAATAATACTTGGGATTTATACGGTGTCCTTTATCATAGTTCTCGGAGCGCCGAGCATGTAAGGGATGGGAATGAATAATAAGTAAGGAGTAAGCGGGGGAGAGAGAGGCTAAAGAAAGAGACAAGAGTGGGTCCCCAGTAAGTCGACTCCCAAGTTTAAACCTCCAAGGGGCAAGGAATTTCCATGGCCTGGGTGCCGGTGGAGACAAAAAGCCGGGGCCACCACAGGACGCAAGCTGAGGGTCCAATAATGCAGCACACGCTGGCATTTCAGCGCGCGCTCAAATACAAGCATAATCACTTTTTTAAAAAAATCAGTTCACGTGCGGCGACCCGATCGCCGTGACATTGTGCAAATACAATGCCTCACCTGCACGCGGGTCCTAACGGAGACCGGGGTCGTCCGACCGATTCCGAGCGCGTCCTTTCAGCGGCGCATGGTAAGCACTCGGTGCAAGGGGTTACATAATTGCATTCTGACCGTGGGGTTTTTTACGTAACCAGACCCTCTCTGAACTGCGTAGCAAACAGCGAGACAAAAAGTAGGGCGATCGTCTGCAGGATTAAGCACTTCTAATCTTCGCCAAAGCGCTCCAAGGACAAAATTAAATGTTTGATACCGAGAGCAGAGCAAACACGGCAATAGAGCGATGGAGACAACTCTCCGAGCTAAGCAAGTGACATCAAGCGCTTCCCAACCCCCCTTAATCCCTGTGGAGTGTTTCGAGACGCCGATGAACACGTGGCTTCTCTCTCTAAACGAACGACATCGCCGCGTCGTTAATGCATCCATCCCTCCGCTCGTTCGCTCCCCTCCCGTTCCCCCTCCGCTGTAACTCCGGCCTCCTTCCCACATCCTCCCCGCACCCCGCCCCTATCCCCCCCCCAAACCCCCCCCCCCCCCGGCGATGTTCCAAAGCTGTACTGTCAGCAGCGATTTGCGTCACTGGCCCGCTGAAACGCACACACGCGACGCCGCTTGATTAAGGCCGTCAAAAACGCAACGGGGATCGGGGCCACAGGTCAAGACCTGCGGGGACATGTAACGGGGGAGGGCCAATTTTTGCCGTGCCGAGAGCGGCACGGTTACGTTCCGTTTGCCCGAACAGTTAACGAAATGAAAGGGGAATTTCAGCAAAAACGAAATCCATTATAATAATCGTCCCCGGCGAGAGCAACGCAGCTATGAATCCTTGACGGTCATTAGACAAGCAGGTATGAAGTAGCACATGCATGGGGCGTACATAACATAACGTTTCTTTTGCAACAGTCTGCTGACCGACGCTCTTGAGAAACGAGCGGCGATACCGGCATGCGGAATCGTTCCGCATGGTCGGCTTTGTTGGGGTAATCGCCGGAGACCGGTAGCAGTAGCGACGGTGGCGATTCTCGCTTGCGGAAGATTCTGCTGCGAATCCCCCGAAAGGCTACGCTCTCTCCCCCCGTTCGGCGACGCGGTTCTAAATCCGCTCCTGCAAATAGCCGCCTCCATTATTTATTTATAATAGGGCGTCTATTTCCATTAGCCGGCATGTTACGGGGGGGGTGGGGAGTAGGTTGGGGGCGGGAAATTGCGTACGCGGGGAAAAATAAATGAACGAGCGTACCGCATGGAGGCGTCATGCAAAAAGCAACCGATACGAGCCGCACAGCTTGTAACGGCGGGCAGAAATCCGATTAGAGTCTGCTTGTCGGGAGGACAAAAGAAGATAAAGACGACGAATTGTTTGGACGAAATTGTTTCTAATGGCGTTCGCATTTATCGATGTTCTCGCTTCCTGGTGCACGCTACAACGGCGACGACGGGCCGCCAAGTCGCGCGGTGCACCGTTGGCGCGTCCCTTCCGTGAAAATGCCTTCTCCCGTCGCCAAAGCCGGCCATCTGCTGCCCTCTGCAGGGGTTATGCTTCAGGGCAGGAACCACCCTCCCCCGCACCCCCCCCCCCCCGACCGCCTCTCTAATACGGCTCCTAACAACGGGAGCCTCTCGCCACCCTTTGTGACCATTACCCAGCCAGCGCGTGTCTATAGGTGTGCGCCAACACGGCTATGCGTCGCAGCTGTGCCTGCTTGTAGACACGCCACGGTGGGAGTTGAGGGAGGGGGGGGGGCAGAGAGTGGGGAAATTTCTGCCCCCCCCCCCACCCCCGCTCCCTTCCCCACGAATTGTGATGCTTGCCTGTTGTACCTCCGATTAGCTCGGTTGGCTACGTACGGTGCGAAAGAAGTTCAACATGCATACTTACATAAGTAAATCACAAATTCAATTATATGTGGAGATAGAGAAGATAATTTTTCTCACCGACACTGCTTTAAGCGAGCTTGACTAAGTTGATGAGATAGTGAATGCCGAAACTGGTTGCTAAATTTTGCGCGTATTAAACCAATGCTGCTGAAAATATATACACACTCCCAAAAGGCCGTGCGGCCGACGGCATGCGCGTAAAAAAGGAACACTTTTAATTTATTTTTCATGTGGCGAGACGAATATGGGAAGGTGGTGTAATTGTCTGCTTATTTGTTTTCTGCTTCTATGTGTTGTATGTCACGGACCATTTGCTGGAGATATTTTTCATTAATGTAAACATGGTAAATAATTCATAAACAATTCTTGTTGTATATTTCATTGTGGATGCATTTAATGTCATACCACGAAAGCTTAATTTATAGGCAATCGATTTTGCTTCCAAACATGAGTTCACCCAAGTCATTTACCCCCGGTCACCCTCGCAATGTTTCACGTGCCTCAATGGGTTTATGTTAAATAAAGTTTTCCCGACTAAATAATGGATACCGACTGATTAACTTTGTGTTCCAGTAAAAGTAATTTTGCAGTCTGAAAAATGTTCTTCCATCACCGTCTGGGCCCTACCTCTGCCCCTGCGTACAATCTTAGCAGCGCACTTGCAAGCACGCATACCCCACTGAGTATTCGCTGCAAAGTGTCGCCCGGTTACACAAGGAGGGTGGATATGCAGCTCTGTCGCACGCTCAGTGCCTGCCTGCCCTGCCTGCCTGCCTGCGGCACTCAGTCCCAGTCATGTTCAGCCTCTCCCCGTATCTCATACCGTCCACGGTGGTCTGAAGACTGCTCCAGTCAAGGCATACGGATACCCCATTAAGTTGCCACATCCGATCACTGGAGAAACACCTCATGCGGGATGTTTACACTTGGGAACACGTGGAGGATCTGTTGCAGGGATCGCTGGCGGTGTACAAGCGGGTTAGGATGCCGTTGCTTGACTCAGTGTCAACATGATCTTGTTCTCCGTCGTGAGTACCTGGCCAGACACGTCCCCTTCTTTCCCCTCCTCTCTCTATCGTGTCCGATCATTTTCTCTCTTCTCCCCCAGATTTGCTTTGTTTACCTCGTTATTTTACCCAACTCAATAAAGAAGCAATGTCTCTTTCACATATCCGTCTCGCCACGTGAAAGAGAAAAATAATCGAAAGTTTTTCTTACATAATCCATCAGTTGCACGGCATTCCGGGAGTGCCGATATATCTTTTTAGCAGCATTGTTTCAACACTGGTTTCGACTTTACTTTGCTAGATCACGCCTGGGAAACACAAAGGTTTTTACTCGCTGACAAACATTCATTGTTGCTGTATTTCTCCGGTTCCGTATCGCTTTGTTACCGGAGAGCGTAAATAAAAAATAAAATTAAAATTTAAAGCGGGATGTAACGCCAAAGTGCACTCGGCTGTGTGTCCAAGCGTGCGTGAACATGCACGTTTATGCTCCTGGCTCTCTGCTGGCAGGAGGGAGGATGATGGGGAAGCATGGAACAAGGGGGGGGAAATCCAATGCTTGCTGCTCCATTGCCTAGCAATTTTTTCTCCCGCTCACCATTTACCCCAGGCACGAAATTACTTTCTGGATGGGATTTAAACATTTTATGGCGCAGGAGTTGTGCTCGAGTCTCCGGGAGCCGGCAGAGAGAGAGCGCGCCGTGGTGCCGCGCGTCGTTCATTAGCGCGCCGTGATCGCCGTAAAAAGAAAAAATATATATACACCGTTATGCGCGGGAAGGCAGCATAAATGGGGCGGAAGGTACGGAAGTATACCGTTTTTTTTTTTTAATTCGGTGCGTAAATGAATTAACGTGAGGTTGGTTTTTGAAACAACTTCAAATGGCCAATTATTTTTTATATATATATGCCCATCTTGCATTTCTCCTTGCGATATTCAAATCATATTTATATTTTTTAACGGGCAATACGAAAAGGTAATTAAAAAGCCGTGCGTTATAGTGGCTCTTCTGTCCTACGTTAAAAGCACCACTGTGTAAACACGCACACACACATATATATGCTAGAAACGTATATACGTGTAGTGACGTATATTGAGTCACTACGGCGTTTAGCACCAACTACTCATACAAAATGGAACTGAGCGTGTTAGAGCCTCTCTCTGACACCAGAGTATGTATGGCATGGAAGGGGGCCCTAGGGAGCATGGTTATGGTGACTGTCAGACGGGACAGTTGAGGACGTGACAGTCTGGGTGAACCCGAGAGGGCACGTGACCAGGACGGGATAATGAGGGGGGCCAAAAGGTGGCGAGAGGGACATGTGATGTATAGCCCAGAACCTTCTAGTAGGATCTGGAACGGGGCATGGCCGAGGGCAGAGCCAGGCCACGCTCAGGGGCATAAAAGGGAGGTCCCCAAGAGCCGATCGAGGCTGTTTTCTGGAATCAACCCGTCGGTGCTACGTCTCTTCGATCCTCGGTCTTTGGTCTTCACGCTCGGCATCGTGGGTCAGACAGTGTGTTACTGACTGACCCGGTTATGTGGTTACCCTCTTGTGGTCGAGTTAATCTGTTGTACGTCATGTAGTTACCCTGTTAGGGTGTGAGAATAAACATGTTGCCTCCAAGTTCAAGTGTGTGCCTCCGTGGAATCCACTACATCTGGCGTCAAAAGTGCTAAAAATATCTGGGTGATAGCACTAGCGTAGTGTGATGTTTACGCGACGAAAACGACTGACCAAGGCGTCTTCGGATGAAGAGGACGACGAGGGGGTGATTCCCCAGACAGCCCAGTTAAAGACTGCAAGGCGGCTCTACAGCGGGAGGGAACCGACGTCTTCGCGCGGCCGCCGTCGGGGATTGAGCGCCGGACGCGCAGCGCCCGCCCCGCCGATTTTTTTGGCCGCACCAGTAGCGTCGGTCGCCGTGTTGGAACTGGAGGGACCGCGGCGTGAAGTCGGTGTGCCGGGACCACGGGGAGACGACTCCGCCGCTGCTGTTTCCCGCGCGCGGGAAACTCAAGAAACGCGGCCCACGCGCGCGGCCGCCATTTTGTCAGCTGGGAGGGACCGGGTTCCCGCCAAATAACGTCTCCCGCCAAAACCGACGCCTGCGGAGGGGGACCTTAACTCGTCCCCCCGAGCTCCCCCGTTGTCTGCTTTGAGTGCCGCCTGCCGGGTCACGTGTCAAGAGGATGCCGCGGGATGCCGTCGTCTTCCACCCTGCCGTCCTCCGCTCCTGTGGGCCCCCTCAGGCGAGTCGCGACACATCCCACACCCAGCCCTTGCAGACATATCAAGCAGCGTTTTCTTGCGCCGGGTCGGATTTGTTTGCCGTTACTCCTCGCCGGGTTGCGGAGCGTGAGGATCGGGTTGCGTTGGGTGTCGGATTGGCTGCGGCGTCCGTGTCAGTTGTCCGCGTTGTAACTTCGTTTTTGTTGTTGTTGTTGTTGCCGTAGAGTTAAGGTGCTCTGAGCCCTGGGGGAAATCCCGTGTTTTGTTGTTGATGGGAATATCCAAATGGCAGGTCCAGTGTTGTTCAAAGTCACTGGCTGCATCCTATCTGTTGTTGGACCGATTTATTGGGAGATACAAACGACCGGTCCGGTGCTTGTTCAAGGTCACTGGCCGTATCCTGTCTGTGTTGCACAGATTTTGTTTTGTTTTTGGTGCGAGAATGCCCCTTAACATCTTGGTGGATCAAGGGTGCGTTGATCTGCCATCTGGCCGTCCTCCCGCGTTTTTGTCCTCTCTGTTTCGATTGTGTGCAGCTAACGCTGCGATGCGAGCCCTGGTGAGAGAGGCTGTAAAAAATTCCCCCCCCGATACGGCCGACGCGTGCGACTGTAAAAGTGAGACGCCGCGTCGGAAAGGTGGGGGGGAGGAAAAGGGCGACTATAAATGTCTCTAGTAATCCTCAAAGGAGGGCTGCTGATGTGTGGGATGGAGAATTGCAACGCTATAACTTTGTGGTACGCGCCGTTCTGTGGGGCAAAGTATAGGGTGCTGCACACTGGGTCGACCGTGAAGCGCAACTTCTTTGACCCAGGATGTCGGGAGACATCCACAATGTACTTAAGAGGTGGATGGGCACCTGGATGGTTCCGACTTCGCCCTATCACCACCTGAGTGATGGGATGGTTGCACGGTGGCAGGGGACCTGACGTCCATATTGTGTCGATGGGTGTGTGCGTATCCAGTATGACCGCCGCCGTTTGTTGCGTATCCCTCGCGACTGAAAAGTTTTTTCCCCGCCGGGCGGGATCCCTTCATCTCCGCTAATCAAGGGCCGGGTGGCTGATGTGTGTGCCTTCGTGGAACCCACTACATACGTATAAATAAACACGTCCAGGAAAAGGAACGGAAAACTGGAGCAAAGAGTCAGGCGATATGAGGAAGGGGAGGAAGAGGCTACCCCGAGGGCCTCGACGCTGCTGCTGCTGCACAGGGGAACGGTGTCTTGTTTTCAGAGTGGGTGGCGGCGCAGAGAGGGGAGGGGTTCAAAGTGGGCGTGGCCACACGAGGTCACACGTGGTGTACGGGAGGCTTGAGCGGATTTCACCTCCCGATTAGCACGGTTGACTACGTATAGTTTCGAAAGAAGCTCAACATACGCACATATGTAGATTCTGCGAAGTGTGTGGAGCGATGGCATAGTGATTGGTGCCCTGCCCAAAGAAACCACCGCCTAGACTTTGACTTTGGGCCAAGGCTAACATGAGTGGTGAGTGATATCCGAACCGGTCCTGAGCCATTCTCCCACTTGGCCATCCCACAGCACAGACCAGCGTGGTGAAGCAGTCTGCCAACCCCCATAATCGGCACTGTGTGGAAAGGCCTTCGTACAACAGTGGCTTGACAAGAGCGCTGCACGTTATTCATTTTAAATTGTACAGTACAACGTCGCATATCCAACACGGTGGGGACAAGAGGTATAGGCAGATGTGAGAAATGGTTGGATACGTCAATGTCTATCCAACGACGGCTACACCATGCACTAATAGGTTGGTGGATACAAATAAAGTGTATGCTGCTGTACACCTCCGATTAGCACGGTTGGCTAGGTACTGTGCGAAAGAAGTTCAATAAATATACTATATAACGGGAAAATGGTTGACTGGGCCTTAGAAGCGAGCATATGCATACGAGAGATTTAAGAGTACGCACGTGAAGAGGTCCTGATTCGGGAACATCCAAAATACAACATCCATAACCCTGGACACCATTGCAAATGTGATGTTCCACCGAGGCGGGTAGAATACGATGCGCAGATGAATTACCATCGGTTGGGTTTATTTTAATGAAATATATATGGAACCAAGAAACAAATATATGGTCTAAATTCACCATTTTCACAACCATGCACAAATAGCGCGTGGGTCGCAGGCAGTTAATTGGTCAGGCCAAACACGTGACGGACGGTAGGATAAGCGACGTTGTACCGTATGCTTAACAATAGTAATGGTGATAGTGTTGTAAAAACGATATTTCAAGTGAAATAAAACGGCGATTACCTCCTGGGTCAATCTGTTGTTGGCATCGTTGGTCTTCTGCAAGGTCGTGGAGATGCTGGCATTTGTCTCCGCCAGGGCCTCTCTCTCACTCTGCAGCTTGGTCACCTTCTGCAGGAGCTCTTCATTGGCTTTAAGCGACTGTTTAAAAGCACCGCCACCACCGACACAAACAACAACAAAACACACCAAAGGGAAGACGTGTTTGAAATGCAGTGACTGCTAAGCATCATATCCAAAGCACATTATCTATTGAATTTAATCAAGACTTGATTCCTTTAATGAGGCGCTTTTTCCTTAATAAAAGGTGCCCGTACATAAATGATCATTATCCAGCTAAAATAATTTAAATCATGCCGTTAGAATAATATTAATGATCAGGTTTATTTAAAGTTTGACGTCAACCTCCATTTGTAAACGCCAATCTGAACCGGTTAACGTTTGAATAAATTACTGAAACTTTGGAGGGTCAGTCCAAGTCCCTTTCTCATCTGGCGACGGAGAGAATTCAACAGGGTCAGGGGCCGTGCGAGCAGTAGAATTATACACGAGCCCAACCCAACATGTCGTCGCGTTCAAGCGCGGAAAAAAAACAAGGCGCATGCTGATGCAAGTCCAAGCATTGCGCCCTTCAAGTCAACGGGGCAGTGCTCCTTACCGGACGCCCTCCCTCCGGGCGGCGCATGCGTGCGCCAATGTAAGCTCCATGCGCTCGGTGTGTTCTCATTGGTTTGTTTGGTCGCGCGTCGACGCTTGTGCGCGACGAATTATTAGAGACGCGACGTGCGGTTCGGGGAGTCGGGGGGGGGGGGGGGGAGCGTGGAGGTCGGGCGAGGGAGGGGAGGGGTTAATCATTTCGACGACGTGCAGAATCACGCCGCCTTCTCAATCGCCTCGCAGTCGATGGAAATGAACGGTTTGTGAGAAAAAGATTTCAGAGGATTCAATTTCTAGACAAGAGTAGGCAAGAACACCTCATTACCACATCCTCCGGATTACAAGAGGCACATTTTCACCCCCACCGTTGTATTTTGAAGCAAAAGTTTGGGGATGTGTGAATCATATAATCCAGTATTAAACTAAAAATAATAACACTACCTGAGCAGCAAATGTGCTAAGAAGAAGGGACAGTGCCCAAAACTTCGCCTATTATATTTATAATTAGTTTTTTAAGGTCACACACAGAGTGTGTTAATGACGAATGCGTAGAGTTATTTTGTGTTTATAATCTTGGAGATGGATGCGTGCAAACAGCAGGGTAGGCCCAACTCCCAACATGCCATGCAAACCTATCATTATGTGATCACCACATTGCATGTACAATGCCCTTAGCCTATTCCAGACCCACCAGTCGTATTTTTGTTAAACCTATTTGTTTCCAGCCTGCTCGCAATCTCTTTGTTGTGCTGGGGGGGACGGTTTCCCATGATGCTACAGAGAGCGTCGCATTTGAAGATGCGTGCGTGTCATCAGATTATCACGAATCTATCGGGGTGTTTCTTACTTTCCAAAGCGTCTGACAATCCGGAGAATATGATTGGAGAAAATCCTAGGTGTCAAATACCATGTAAACAGTAAATGTGCTTAAGCAGTGTGACACAGGCAAAGCATGGTCGTTAATATCTCATTAAAGCAAAGATTACGCGCGGAGTGTTAATTTTTTTTCGAGTGGAATGCATAAAGAAATGAGGACATGTGACATCCCTCTGGACATGCTTTCTTCAATTAAGTAAAATACTGAAATTACCAATTGAACACAATGTGAACAGTGTAAAGCACACACTGTCATGTTATTTTTTTTTCCAAAGAAGCAAAACACGTGCAGAGGTAGAGTCAGCAGACGGGACGACATTTGCATGAGGTAATTGGACAGGAGGATGCTGGTTAGGCAAGTCAGATTGTGACTCGATTCAAGCTCATTAGACGTGTAATCTAATTTTTGCGGCATCCCAGATACCTCCTCTGCCTGCGCCGATTTGGCAGAGCACGTCAACTCGAGTTCTTTCAACTGCGCTGCCGTGTCCTCCTCCTTCTTCAGCCAGCATGCCCTCTCTTCATCCAGCGCCTTCGCGACGGCCGCCCGCTCCCGCTCGCGCGCGTCGCCCTCCTGTCGCTCCCTCTCTGTCGCCGCCCCCTCCATTTCGCTCCGCAGGGAAGCGACGAGGGCGCGCAGCTCTGCGCACTCCTCGGCCGACGCGTCGCGCTCCCCCTCCGCGTTCCGCCGCTTCTCCGCCAGCGCCGCCTCCCTCGCCTCGACCTCCCGCCGAAGCGACACCGCCTGCTCCCTCTTGGCGGCCGCCTCCGCGATTTCGACGCGGAGAGCCGCGGCCAGCTCGTCAAGCTCCGAGCACCGGCCCTCGAGTCGCCCGCGCTCCTCCTCCAGCCGCGTCTGTTCGGCGGTCGCCCGCTCGCGGCCCGCGGCGGCCTCCTCCAGCTGCTCGCGAAGGGACGACGCTTCCTCGCGCAGCCGCGCCATCCCCTCGACCTGCCGTTCGCGCTCAGCCTCCAGCTCCTGCTGCTTGGAGATCAGCTCGAGTTGCTTGCCGGCCCCCTCCTGCTGCGCGGCGACAATCTCTCGTCGGGTTAGGTCCGCCTCCTCGGCCGCCCTCACCAGCGCGACGACTTTCTCTTTCAGCTCAGAGTTTTCTTTGCTCGCAGATTCACACTCCGCTCGCACCTCCTCCAGTTTAGCAGCGAGCGCTTCGTACTTTGCGAGCTGCTCCCCTTCTCTTGCAGCCGCCTCCCGTTGCAAGATGCCGGCCTCCTCTAGCTCTTTCCTTAAGCCAGACGTCTCGTCCTGCAACTGAGCGCTGCGGCTCAGCAGGGCGTTGTACTCATTCGTGAGCCGCTGCTGCTCCGTGTCGAGCTTCTCGCATTTGGCGTCGGACTCCTGCTGCCTCGTCGCCATTTCCCGTTGCTTCGAGGCTGCATCGTCCAGTTCTTTGCGCAGAGCCGACACCAGATCTTGAAGCTCCCCGTTCTCCTTCGACAGATCATCGTGCCGAGTCGCCAGCTCGGACTGCGCCAGTATCATTTCCTCCTGCTTAGAGATCAGCTCCTGCTCCCTGGCCGAATCGCTTTGATGCTTAGCGACCGCGTCTTCCAAATTTTTACTCAGGCAAGACACGTTCGCTTCGAGAGACGCCTTTTCTTCCGCCAGCAAGTCCCGTTGTTTCACCAACTCTTTGCACTCCGACTCGACCCCATTCTGTTTGGCGGCCATCTCCTCTCTCTCCAGCGCCGCCTCCCGCTCTCTCCCAGCCATCGCTTCTAGCTCGGCGCGCAGAGACGCCGCCTGCAAGCGCATCTCCTCCCCGTCTCGCTGTAGCGTGGCGCTCTCTGTCTCCTGTCGCCGCTGAGTGGCCAGCAGCTCCTCCTGGCGAGAGACGAGGCTCTCGCGCTCCTGCAGGAGGGCCGCGCGCTCCGAGTCCGTCACCTTGCTGTCGCTCCGCAGCTCCTCCAGCATGCGAGCGAGCCGCCCATTCTCTGCCGACACGCGCTCGCTCTCCAGCCTCAGCGACTCGTTTTCGGCTTTGCCTGCCTTCACCGCCTCTTTCAATGCATCTCTCTCCTTCTCGGCGGCCTCCAGACCACCCCGCGTGTCCTGCAGAAGGGCCGCATCACGTTCCTTCTCCGCCTCGAGTTTGGCGACGTCTTCTTTGGTGCAGCTGAGCTCGCTCCGAAGCCGTTCGGACGACGCTAGCAGCTCATCCCGTTCCGATTCCGCACGCAATTTGCCGCTTTTCAACTCCTCGACGGCAGCCGCCAGCGTTTCAGCCTCACCCTTGAGCTGCGCGTTGCTCGTGCGCGCCGTTGTCAGGTCGTTCGCCTGCTGCTCAACAACGCTTTGCAACTGTCGCGTGAGGGCATCCGCCTCGGTTTGTTTGCATCGAGCGTCGCCGAGCTCCTCCGACAGCTTCTTCTTCTCCTCCGCCAGATCGCCGGCTTCAGATCTTCCGGCTTCGACTTGACCCTTCATTTCTGCCAGCGCGGCCTTCAAGCCCTCCACTTCATTTTCAAGGGCGCCGCGCCTCTCCTTCTCCTCCCGCAGAGCCTCGCTCAGCCCGTCCCGCTCCTCCGCCAGAATCGCCGCCTCCGCCGCGACCGATTCTCCGATCTGCCGGTCCTTCTCCACTTGCTCCCCGAGCGCGTCGCGGTCCTGCCGCAAGGACGCGGCCTCGGCCTCGAGCCTCCGACCCTCGGCGATCAAAGCCTCCTTCTCTTCGAGGAGGGCGTCGCGGCCCAACGAGAGCTCCCGGTGCCCTGCCCGCGCCGCCTCTAGCTCCCCGCCCAGCGAGACGCAGCGCGCTTCCAGGTCGGCGAGCCGGCTCGACGCCAGTTCCTTTTCGGAGGCGAGCGAGTCTCGCTCGGCCAGTGCCGCGCCGTGGCTCGAGAGCAAGGCGTCTAGCTCGTGCGACAGGCGCGCGCGTTCGGCCTCCGCAGAGGCTAGCTCGACGGTTAGCGACTGCGGAAGGTGTTGTGTGTGTGGGGGGTGCGGCGGGTTGGGGGAGGGGAGGGGGGGCAAAGTAAACAAAACAATAAAAAGCAGCAAAATAAAAACAAGCAAAAAAATACAGACAACCGGAAAGGCAGAGGGCAGCAAGTAGAAATGTGTAAAGTTAAATAGAAAAAAAATAAGTGTAATTGCTTTTCCATTATGAAATGATATTAGCCTCATGAAGTTCAAGAACAATTATATTGGGCAAGGAATGAAAGGAATGGCGGCATCTGCAAAGGTCCCGTTCCACATTTTAAATTCACTTCTTGTTCATCCTTCTTTTGTGGCTCCAAAAGCAAAGGTGCGGTTGCATGGGTTCACAATCCGTCCCTGTAACATGGCCAACATTCCACTGTAGACGTGACACGCATTTATAAAACCACTTACCCCTCACCCAGGTCTTTGCAATTACCCAGGGCTACCCATCACCCAGGGCTACCCATCACCCAGGTCTACCCATCACCCAGGGCTACCCATCACCCAGGTCTTACCCATCACCCAGCCCCTACCCATCACCCAGCCCCTACCCATCACCCAGCCCCTACCCATCACCCAGCTCCTACCCATCACCCAGCTCCGACCCATCACCCAGCTCCGACCCATCACCCAGCTCCTACCCATCACCCAGCTCCTACCCATCACCCAGCTCCTACCCATCACCCAGCTCCTACCCATCACCCAGCTCCTACCCATCACCCAGCTCCTACCCATCACCCAGGTCTACCCATCACCCAGGTCTACCCATCACCCAGCTCCTACCCATCACCCAGGTCTACCCATCACCCAGCTCCTACCCATCACCCAGGTCCTACCCATCACCCAGGGCTACCCATCACCCAGCTCCTACCCATCACCCAGCCCCTACCCATCACCCAGCCCCTACCCATCACCCAGCTCCTACCCATTACCCAGCTCCTACCCATCACCCAGCTCTTACCCATCACCCAGCTCCTACCCATCACCCAGGTCTACCCATCACCCAGGTCTACCCATCACCCAGCTCCTACCCATCACCCAGGTATACCCATCACACAGGTCTACCCATCACCCAGCTTCTACCCATCACCAAGCTCCTACCTATCACCCAGGTCTACCCAACACCCAGCTCCTACCCATCATACAGGTCTACCCATCACCCAGCTCCTACCCATCACCCAGCTCCTACCCATCACCCAGGTCTACCCATCACCCAGCTCCTACCCATCACCCAGCTCCTACCCATCATACAGGTCTACCCATCACCCAGCTCCTACCCATCACCCAGCTCCTACCCATCACCCAGCTCCTACCCATCACCCAGCTCCTACCCATCACCCAGGTCTACCCATCTCCCAGCTCCTACCCATCACCCAGCTCCTACCCATCACCCAGCTCCTACTCATCACCCAGCTCCAACATATCACCCAGCTCCTACCCATCACCCAGCTCCTACCCATCACCCAGGACTACCCATCACCCAGCTCCTACCCATTACCCAGCTCCAACCCATCACCCAGCTCCTACCCATCACCCAGGTCTACCCATCACCCAGGTCTACCCATCACCCAGGTCTACACATCACCCAGCTCCTACCCATCACCCAGCTCCTACCCATCCCCCAGCTCCAACCCATCACCCAGCTCCAACCCATCACCCAGCTCCTACCCATCACCCAGCTCCTACCCATCACCCAGCTCCTACCCATCACCCAGGACTACCCATCACACAGCTCCTACCCATCACCCAGCTCCTACCCATCACCCAGGTCTACCCATCACCCAGCTCCAACCCATCACCCAGCTCCTACCCATCACCCAGGTCTACCCATCACCCAGCTCCTACCCATCACCCAGGTCTACCCAACACCGAGGTCTACCCATCACCCAGCTCCTACCCATCACCCAGCTCCTACCCATCACCCAGGTCTACCCATCACCCAGGTCTACCCATCACCCAGCTCCTACCCATCACCCAGCTCCTACCCATCACCCAGCTCCTACCCATCACCCAGCTCCTACCCATCTCCCAGCTCCTACCCATCACCCAGGTCTACCCATCACCCAGCTCCTACCCATCACCCAGCTCCTACCCATCACCCAGCTCCTACCCATCACCCAGCTCCTACCCATCACCCAGCTCCAACCCATCACCCAGCTCCTACCCATCACCCAGCTTCTACCCATCACCCAGCTCCTACCCATCACCCAGGTCTACCCATCACCCAGGTCTACCCATCACCCAGCTCCTACCCATCACCCAGCTCCTACCCATCACCCAGCTCCTACCCATCACCCAGCTCCTACCCATCACCCAGGTCTACCCATCACCCAGCTCATACCCATCACCCAGCTCCTACCCATCACCCAGCTCCTACCCATCACCCAGCTCCTACCCATCACCCAGCTCCTACCCATCACCCAGCTCCTACCCATCACCCAGGTCTACCAATCACCCAGGTCTACCCATCACCCAGCTCCAACCCATCACCCAGCTCCAACCCATCACCCAGCTCCTACCCATCACCCAGCTCCAACCCATCATCCAGGTCTACCCATCATCCAACTCCTACCCATCACCCAGCTCCTACCCATCAGCCAGGTCTACCCATCACCCAGCTCCTACCCATCACCCAGCTGCTACCCATCACCCAGCTCCTACCCATCACCCAGGTCTACCCACCACCCAGCTCCTACCCATCACCCAGGTCTACCCACCACCCAGCTCCTACCCATCACCCAGCTCCTACCCATCACCCAGCTCCTACCCATCACCCAGCTCCTACCCATAACCCAGCTCCTACCCATCACCCAGGTCTACCCATCACCCAGCTCCTACCCATCACCCAGGTCTACCCATCACCCAGCTCCTACCCATCACCCAGCCCCTACCCATCACCCAGCTCCTACCCATCACCCAGCTCCTACCCATCACCCAGGTCTACCCATCACCCAGCTCCAACCCATCACCAAGCTCCTACCCATCACCCAGCTCCTACCCATCACCCAGGTCTACCCATCACCCAGCTCCTACCCATCACCCAGCTCCTACCCATCACCCAGCTCCAACCCATCACCCAGGTCTACCCATCACCCAGCTCCTACCCATCACCCAGCTCCTACCCATCACCCAGCTCCTACCCATCACCCAGCTCCTACCCATCACCCAGCTCCTACCCATCACCCAGCTCCTACCCATCACCCAGCTCCTACCCATCACCCAGCTCCTACCCATCACCCAGGTCTACCCATCACCCAGCTCCTACCCATCACCCAGCTCCTACCCATCACCCAGCTCCTACCCATCACCCAGCTCCTACCCATCACCCAGCTCCTACCCATCACCCAGCTCCTACCCATCACCCAGGTCTACCCATCACCCAGCTCCTACCCATCACCCAGCTCCTACCCATCACCCAGCTCCTACCCATCACCCAGGTCTACCCATCACCCAGGTCTACCCATCACCCAGCTCCAACCCATCACCCAGCTCCAACCCATCACCCAGCTCCAACCCATCACCCAGCTCCTACCCATCACCCAGCTCCTACCCATCACCCAGCTCCTACCCATCACCCAGCTCCTACCCATCACCCAGCTCCTACCCATCACCCAGCTCCTACCCATCACCCAGCTCTTACCCATCACCCAGGTCTACCCATCACCCAGCTCCTACCCATCACCCAGCTCCTACCCATCACCCAGCTCCTACCCATCACCCAGCTCCTACCCATTACCCAGCTCCTACCCATCACCCAGCTCCTACCCATCACCCAGCTCCTACCCATCACCCAGCTCCTACCCATTACCCAGGTCTACCCATCACACAGGTCTACCCATCACCCAGCTCCTACCCATCACCCAGGTCCTACCCATCACCCAGCTCCTACCCATCACCCAGCTCCTATCCATCACCCAGCTCCTACCCATCACCCAGCTCCTACCCATCACACAGGTCCTACCCATCACCCAGCTCCTATCCATCACCCAGCTCCTACCCATCACCCAGCTCCTACCCATCACCCAGCTCCTACCCATCACCCAGCTCCTACCCATCACCCAGCTCCTACCCATCACCCAGGTCTACCCATCACACAGCTCCTACCCATCACCCAACTCCTACCCATCACCCAGGTCTACACATCACCCAGCTTCTACACATCACCCAGCTCCTACCCATCACCCAGCTCCTACCCATCACCCAGGTCTACCCATCACCCAGCTCCTACCCATCACCCAGGTCTACCCATCACCCAGCTTCTACCGATCACCCAGCTCCTACCCATCACCCAGCTCCTACCCATCACCCAGCTCTTACCCATCACCCAGCTCCTACCCATCACCCAGGTCTACCCATCACCCAGCTTCTACCCATCACCCAGCTCCTACCCATCACCCAGCTCTTACCCATCACCCAGCTCCTACCCATCACCCAGCTCCTACCCATCACCCAGCTCTTACCCATCACCCAGCTCCTACCCATCACCCAGGTATACCCATCACACAGGTCTACCCATCACCCAGCTTCTACCCATCACCAAGCTCCTACCTATCACCCAGGTCTACCCAACACCCAGCTCCTACCCATCACCCAGCTCCTACCCATCACCCTGCTCCTACCCATCACCCAGGTCCTACCCATCACCAAGGTCTACCCATCACCCAGATCTTACCCATCACCCAGCTCCTACCCATCACCCAGGTCTACCCATCACCCAGCTCCTACCCATCACCCAGGTCTACCCATCACCCAGGTCTACCCATCACCCAGCTCCTACCCATCACCCAGGTCTACCCATCACCCAGCTCCTACCCATCACCCAGGTATACCCATCACCCAGGTCTACCCATCACCCAGCTCCTACCCATCACCCAGGTCTACCCATCACCCAGGTCTACCCATCACCCAGCTCCTACCCATCACCCAGCTCCTACCCATCACCCAGCTCCTACCCATCACCCAGGTCTACCCATCACCCAGCTCCTACCCATCACCCAGGTCTACCCATCACCCAGCTCCTACCCATAACCCAGGTCTACCCATCACCCAGGTCTACCTTCGCGCTCGTCTCGGCCCTGCGTTCCGACTCGAGCAGCTTCTCGGAAACACTGGCCGCCAACTCACGCTCCAGCGCCAGGCCAGCCTGCAGCTCCTCCACTTGCCTGGCAGGACACACATCGTCACGTGAAGAGGGGGCGGGGAGGGGGGGCGCAGCAGCTACATTGGTCACATGTACGCAAAACGTTTCTATCCCCATCGCTCCTGTCGGCTCGTGTCTCTCGCAAAGCGGTGATGCCCTGTTGCGCCGCCACGCATGGCGTTTGCCAATCAGAAGCAGTATCCACTCGGTTCAACCCTTGCTTAACTTATCAGATCTGTTGAGCTCCAAACATTCTGCGGGCGTGATTTGGTCACAGTCAATGTTGCAGTGACACCGCAAAAGGTATATTTTTTATCCCGACTGTGCTATCACGCAACACGTTTCTATCCCCATTGCTGTGCTATCAAGTGCCCATTCGGATCCGCCAGTGGAGCAGCGGCAAGCGTTCGTGATGAAGAACGACCCGTCGGGAACAGCGGATACCACGGGGCTGTCTCCGAGATCCCTTCGAGTGGCCTCTTGTCCACGCTGGTCAGCGCGGGTTTCTGAAGGCAGGGAGTGCTGACGTGGACACACAGAAGTACTACGCAGTGCAAACGACGGATTTTTTGCTACAATGCCCACTGCTGAGCCGCTACGCAGCTGAAGAATAAACCTTGCCAGTTGCTCTGCCTCCATCATTTCGACAGAGAGCAGCCAACAGCAAAAAAAAAGGGGCAATCGCACTTGTCTCTCTTCCTGATGTCATCGTTCATCTTCGTGAGCTGTGCAGAGCTGTCTCCGGAAGACTGGATCATCTGGGCGATGTCCTCCTCCAGCTTCTGCTTGTCTCGCGCGAGCTGCTCCGCCTTCTCCTCCCCCGAGTGCACCTTGCGCTCTAGCGCTGGACAACAAAGACAGATTCCCCCATATAGCCTAAACAGACTATTTAAATCGATACGGTCACTTAGAACGATATAAAAGACGTTTCTAAGCAATGCGGTTTCCGAGAGTAACCAGCGAGCGCGAACAAATTACGTCATGCATGCAGAGCGTCCGTTGAATTATTGTTTTTAAATCGCTTGCAGTTACTAGCAAATTAAGATACTTCACAAAATGGACAATTGATTCAAATAATGATGTTCATTATTCGTATTTCTCAGAACCATGGAGGGTCAGGCACACGGGGAGGGGGGGGTACTACTCAGTTGAAAGAAAATTGAACAAGGGGATAACCAGTATTCTTAGGTTTTTTCGGTAAAGTCAAGCGGGTAAAAAATAAAAATTTATAAAAGTAAAATAAAAATAAAATACAAATTACGACGTTTCGGAGGCAACACAAGCCTCCGTCTTCAGGTGGAACCATCACAGCACTTGATACAGCTATCGTGCTGTTTAATTTTTATTTTACTTTTATTAATTAAAATTTTTTACCTACGTGACTTTACCGAAAAAACCTAAGAATATGAATCCTTGCAGTCACGAAAGCTTCAAATCTAGGATAACCAGTAGCCAAACAAAGGTTGAGAAACCATTGCTCTACCTTACCGGACAACTCGGTCTTCACTTGCTGGAGCGCGGTGCTCAGCCCTGAGTTCTGCTCCTCCCGCGAGCTCACCTTTCCTTCCAGTTCTGTCGGGGGAAAAAAATAACAACTCCAAGGCCCCATTGGAACCTCATTTGCCTGTAAAAATATGATAATTGGTTTTTTACCCTTCTATCTGGCAACGCCTTTTGGCGTCATCTGGTCCAACCCATGTGAGACTAGGCTCTAAGGAAAGCTGTCTCGGGTGTGGACCAATCAACTTCAAGGACAGTGCACATTATCAGAGTTATGTTTTTTGTTTGCATTATGACTGAAGGTATTGTGGTCTATGCAAACATGACTCCTTGTAAAAAGGTGTCAGTTTTGTTGCCAGATAGAAGGGTAAAAAAACAGTTATCAACTCAAAGGCCATCGCCCGTGACGGCCCACCAGATTACCATATTCTCACCGATTATAAGATGCTCTTTATCCCCCCTTTTATTTTGAAGCAGATGTATTATAATCTGGTTGTTGTTTGTCTACCTGGTCCGGGGTTTAAACATCCTCTCTGGAGAGGCAAAGGTGGTCGGGCGTGATGCTCATGTGGCATACCAGCCTTCATTAGGTATGACTCGCTAACAGCACTTGCCCCAACAGTCTGTTTAGGCTATATGGGTGATCTTTGTCTTTGTGTGCGAGACCAGATTTGTGTAACTATGTTGACACCAGACACAAGTTTCTGGTGTGTTATACTTTCATGAGCATTTCATAATCTGGAGAATATGGTTTTATTTGTATTTGAAAAACATTCAAGACGATGAGTCTCATTTACAAGAGTGACCTGGGTCACACAAATGCCAAAGTAAAAAAAAATGTAAGTACAGATCTAAATGTCGGGTGAAATTGGAAAAATAACACTATGTAACAAATAGTGTTACATAATAACCAGGCTACAGTCTGCATTATAGACTGCCAATACACTCACTCCGATTTAGAACCAGGCTACAGTCTGCATTATAGACTGCCAATACACTCACTCAGATTTAGAACCAGGCTACAGTCTACATTAGTGTTTTTTCGTTTTTTCATAATTTTTCTTTATCTTTATTCACTTTATTTTTATTCTTATTGTTTCTATCTATGTGACTTTACCGAAAGAACCAAAGAATACTAAGTAACATAATTTTTGTTCTTGGGTAGTAAGTGTTGTTTCCTAATTGCTTATGCCCCAAAATAACAGAAAATGGATATTATTCCCCACAAACTTTACTTTTGTGACCAGGACAGTGATTGTTACACAGTGTAATTCAAGGAAAAACAAATTAAGACAGGACGTGCAACTCTAAATAAAATTCTGTTGACTGCACCTTCAATAGTTTGTTGCAGGCGGCTTCCTTTTTCGGTCACAGACTTAATTTCTTCCGTCTAAAAGCAGACAACATACGTGTTAAACGATAACTGTAATCATCATTATTATCATCATTGTCGCTTAGCATTTATTCCACGCCTCCCATGCAATGCCTCTCGAGGCGGCCTGCGGCAAGGGACCCCCCCCCCAGGGGCAGCTGCCCCTGTGTGGCTACAGGGTGAAACGAGCCAGTAGGGGGCGACGTTGTTACGCAGCTTCCTAATCAGGTAACTTTCGAAAACAATCACTGCATTCCGCATTTTCAAATGTGCTTCTGCGGTCATCTGAAATGGTCTTCCTTCAGATATTACGAAGCACTTTTCAATCTAAATTGAAAACTTTTTATTTAGAACAGTTTTTTTTGGTAAGTTTGTTGTCCTTCCACCGCACCTCCGATTCGCACGCTTGGCTACGTACGGTGCGAACGTTCAACATACAGTACGTGCATATAATTTGAAATATTTATCAAACTAGCCAAACTTTTGGGACACGAGGCGAACACACGTGGCCCTAACTCTCGAATCACATCGCAGGACCTTTAAAGTTCACTGCAGAGCAGGCGGCACCGTAATTTATCGTGAATACACCGGGCAGCATATACCAGGGCATCCGACCGGGGTCGAACGGTGAACCCACGCAAAACACGGCAAGAGCACGCGACCGCTGGGCCAGATCGCAGTGGACGTGACTTGAGAACACTTTCGCTGGCAACGCTAAAATCCGGAAGGAAATGTCAAAAACGAGGGCCACACTTACCCGCTCAGATAGTTTCTGTTGCAGCTGGCCCCTATCGTCATTGAGAGATGAAACCTCTTGGCGCAGGCCCTCCATCTCTCCTTCCTTCACTTGCAACTTCTCAGCGAGCTCCCCGGCCTGTGCGGACGGGGCAAAGTAAAAATACCACTAAGCCCCACTCTCTCAGGTACCTTCGCTGAAATAATGCTAAAGCAGGCAGCCGAGTGTACTGCAATATTTATGGAGTGAGCAGGTGGGAGCCTGCCACTGCCAATTCACAGATAAATAATTCCTCATTTTAAAAATATATTTTTTTACTCACGCTGAGCCCTGGCTCCAAGCCCAGGATAAACGTTGTGAAGTATAAAGATTGTTTCATTTCCCCTGTAGCGCCTGACTGACTGCCGCGTAAAGTACCGTTCGAAAGCGCGAATTAAGGCCGGCGCGATGCACGATGGGGTTGGTGTGGCCTGCACGACTCCAGGCCGCCTTCGTCTCTCCTCTGTGCTGATGTTATGCACTGCAACCTGGTACTCATTTGAAGTCACTTCATTTTGGATAAGGCCCATTGAGTTCAACTTTTTTTCAATTGCAACCCCGTGTGGAGGGCTTCATCCAGCAGTGGAGGTGTAAACTAAACTAATCAACGGAGGCCTCGGGGAGGCCCAGGAACCGGATCAGATCTTCGTCACCGATGTTGGTCGTGAGCGGGAAATTAAACCCGTGTGTTCGGGTTCGAAGAGCAGCACGCTAACCACTGCACCACTGCTCTACAAAAAGACAAAGATCACCCGTAGAGCCTTAACAGACTGTTGGGGCAAGTACTGTTAAGCGAGTACCTCTGAAGGCTGGCACGGCACACGAGGGGGTGGGTGTCAAATACCACGCCCGGCCGCCTTTGCCTCCCCAGTAGCGATATTTACACACAGCACCAGATACTCATTTGAGGCTGAGTCAACCTAGGGGAGGCCCAAGACCGGTTAAGATAATTGTCACTGGTGTTGGCCGTGAGTGGGAATCGAACTCGCATTACTGGGTTCGTAGAGCAGCTCGCTAACTGCTACAAAACCGCTACTGACACACACAAAGATAAAGATCAAAGATCCCCCGTATAGCCTTAACAGACTGTTGGGGCAAGTGCTGTTAGCGAGCACCTATGAAGGCCGGAACGGTACACGAGGGGGTGGGTGGCCAGCACCACGCCCGACCGCCTTTGTCTCCCCAGCGGCGATGTTTACACACCGCACCAGGTACTCATTTCAGGCTGAGTCGACCTAGGGGAGGCCCAGGACCAGTTCAGATAATCGTCACTGGTGTTGGCCGTGAGTGGGAATCGAACCCGGGTCGCTCGGTTCATAGCGCAGCGCGCTAACCGCTACACTATAACTAACAGACGCAGTTTCACACGAGCGCGCACGTGCGCACAGGCACCCAATTTGCGTGCATGAAAACAAGCGAGAGGCGAGCGTGGCACAGACGGCTGTTACCCTGTCGCCAGCAGACAGTCTCTCGGCCTCCACGGCGCTGCACGTGCTCAGGGCCGCGGTCAGCTTCCCGCGCAGGGCCTCGTTTTCCTTGCGGGAAGCCTCCGTCTCCTCCGCCAGCCTCTCGCACTCGCGACACTTCTCCTCGAGCTCTGACACGCGGCTCTGCAACGCCTGTGGCAAAGCGGGCGCACGGAACACGCAGCTACGTTATTACCACCAAAGCGGTCCCATGCGTGCTCCCAATGGATTTATTGCTTTCAATTTTGTAATTTTTTTCCACCCCCTCCCAATGTCAATTATTTCAATTACTCTTCCGGTCTCTTGTTACGAGAAGTTTAAGTTTATTTATTAGGTATAGCCCTGTGAACCATTCGGCTCTTGAATCGGGTGCAACAGCAACAAACAAAAAACAAAAACAAAAAATATGTGAATATGTGACTAAGTGCAAACAGAAAATCCAAGAAAAGACAGCAAAATATTGCAGAAAAAACACCAACGCTGTGTGCAAAAATCCCAGTGGGATGCAAGTCAAACAACCAACAACAACCACAAGACAACTTAGATGAAGGCCATCAGTCTAACTCGGTACTACAACAAACAAAAATGGCTAAACCAAAACACTTTTGGAAATCACCAAAATAAAGCAATGAAAGCAATGAAACAGTGATCATAGGAATGTTACGAGAAGGAGCGTCCATTCAAAACCCCTTCGCCGAGTAGTGCATCACCACATCTCACGAGATCTGGCGTGAAGAAGGCAAAACTATGGAACCGCTCTCCGAGATCCCTTCCAGTGGGCGGCTGAACTTTTCCCATGTGGCCTGGTCCAGGCAAATATTCGTCACGCGGCAGTCAGACCGCGCGCTAACCCCGTTGCACTCCCACTGTTGCACACAGACAAAGATCCCCCGGAAATAGGCTTAATAGACTTGTTGGGGCTTGTGCTGTTAGCGAGCACACAAGGAGATGGGGTAGCCAACACCACACCTGGCCGCTCTTGCACACGCACACACGTATGTGCACGCGCGCGCACACACAGACCCATTATTTATAAATGTGTAGTAACCCTCCACCACCCGACACGGCCAATCAGTAAAAAAGTGTCACGTTGACAAAAGACAAATAGTTCACTGCTTTAGCCCACCGGTGTGTTGAAGCGTGAAACCACAACATTTACAATTTTTGAGTACGACGTTTCGCTGGTAATTGCATCCAGCATCATCGGGCAATTCGCCAGAATGGTGAGGCTCTGCTCTGTCTCCCGTTCTTATATAGAGCAGCAGCAGGGTGACGTCATCATTAACTCATCAACTCATCAGGTGCAACGATTTGAGACGGGGGGGGGGGGGGCGGGGGTATTGTAATAATATACTAGATTAGTAATCAGGCAGTTGTTATGATGCGAGTTGTAGATTAATAATCAGTTAGAATGTGTTTTATTGTAATTATGCAACGTTAGTAATCAGTTAGTGTTTGTTTCCCCTATAAGGAATTGCAATGTATCTTATTTAATAATACGCTTGGCCGTGTCGTGTGGTGGAGGGTTACGACACATTTATAAATAACGCGATCTAAACCCAAAAACGTTGATTATGAATAATATTGGTCGCGAAAGCCTACGTGTTAAACACACAGACCCACTCGCGCGCGCGTGTGTGGCCGTGTCATGCAAGTGACGTAGTCAACCTGCTTCTCCGCGTCCGTCTTCTCGGCCTCCTTGAGCTTGTCCTCGGCCTGCGAGAGCTTCGACAGCATCTCCTCGAGCTCCAGCATGTGCTGGGTGCCGGCCAATTCCAGCTGCTGCTTCACGCGCTCCACCTCGCTCTCGCGCCCCTTCAGCGATTCCCCGAGCTTCGCCTTCAGCTCCTCCTTCTCCTGCGCAGGGAAACACCAGAGCGCAGCACCGGCGATGATCAGCTAAAACTATTTAGAATTTATTCTTGGGTTTTTTCGGTAAAGTCACGTAGGTAAAAAATAAAAAAATAAAATTAATAAAAGTAAAATAAAAATTAAATAAAAATCACGACGTTTCGGAGGCAACACAAGCTTCCGTCTTCAGGTGGAACCGTCACAGCACGCTTGCTGTATCAAGTAATTAAAGCTTTCGTGACTGCAGGAATTCATATTCTTTGGGTCTTTCGGTAAAGCCATGTAGATATAAAAACAATAAAAGTATCACGACGTTTCGATCGCAACACAAGCAATCATCATAAGGTGAAAAAATATAGCGGGAGAGCTGCTGAGGCAGGATGTTATAAAGGTTTGAGATGGGTGTAGCCCAAGGGTCATAAGCGAAGTGGGCGGGGCTAGAGATTAAATTTGCATGTCAATGTAAGACCGGAGAGCTGAGCTACCTCCACGATGATGCAGCTGTGGAGGTGGCCATTGTATTGTGAGAGATGAGCATGTCAATGTCAGAAAAAGATGAAAACCACCGCCACATCGAGGAAAACGAGCAACGGTGGCTGTGTTAGTGAGACATTTAGCCTGTTAATGTAAAGACATTTAACCTGGTCATGTAACTCAGAGAGTTGTAAATAACTGCTAACATCGGCAGATAGGACGGAAACATTACAGCCAATTATGACTTAAACTGGTTAATAACGTCCTTCAAATGACTGCTCAGTTTGTACCTATCTTCTTGGTTGAAATTGTGTCTGTGTTTACATATCTGGATGGCTTCATGAACGAATCTTTGCTGATAGCCAGTGGGTTTGCATCGTGGTCAGGTTTCGAACCCACGACCTCCTGCATACCAGGCGAGGTAGTTAACATCTCGCCACCGGGGCAAGATGTTAAAGAGGGTTGCTCCGGAGCCGCTGGTTGCTGACCGCCTGCGTTGGAGAGACCACAAGAGATGGCGACCGTGCGGCGAAGCAGTGGAACAACCACGTGTACCACCGCCACCGGCCACCCTGTCATGCGAGCGAGCGCGCGTGCAGTTCCACGGATAAATCCCACGCGTCAGGCCCCACTCGCCTTGAGGTGCGCGGCGCTCTCCCGCTCCAGTTTGACACGCTCGCCCTTCAGCGCCTCCAGCGCCGCCACCGCTTCGGCTCCAGGGGCGGCCGAGCGGCTCGCGGCGTCCTCCAGGGCCTGGCGGTGAGCGGCCTCCACCGCCTCGAGGCGTTCCTTCCACAGCTGCACCTCGCTGGTCGTCGCGGCCAGCTCCCGGCGGAGAGACTCGGCCTCGGCGTGGGCCTTCTTGAGGGCTTCGGCCTCGCTCAGGGCCGCATCGAGACTCTCCTGGAGGGCCTTCGCCGCTCGCCGCTCTTCCGCCTTTCAATGGGAAGACAACAATGGTCGGGGGGGGGGGGGTTGGAGCAAAGGGGCCAGCAGATGCGTACGTGCGTGAGTGCGCGCGCATTCGGTTGTGCCGAATGTTGTCTGGCACGATGTCCACACGTTTCGAACCGCCTACCTGTTTGGAAGCTTCTTCAGGAAGCGAAGCTTCTTCTGGAACAATTTAGCCATCATATCAATTTCAACAAATCCATTCAACTTGAATACACAGCACTTATTCAAGCGAGATGTAAACACAATAAATGTAACATACCGAACAGAAAATGCCGTCATCACCATTATCATCGTCGTTGTCATAAACGTGGCAGTGTTGACCTGTTTCTCAATATGGCCAACTAGTGTTCTTGTTGTTTATAATTTTTATTTTGTTCCTTTTATTTGAAAGTCAAATTCTGTGAACTGTTCACGTCGATACGGTCGCCTTCATGCCGCGGTAAGAGAATGCTGCCGCGTCATAAAACTCAATTATCGCCGCGACGTACATTACATCCAAAGAGTTATATTCAGAAAACACGTGGCTAACAATATTACGCGCAGAATGAAAGTGCTCCGTCAAAAGCTGGCTTTAATGAAATTCCTGTTTAAAAAAAAATATTATTCAACCAGACGCAACGCGTTGAAAGAAGCAGCGCCCTGCTATTCGTCTTGCACAGCCAGAGGGCACCAGCGCACGCTGGGCAACCTGCGCTGCCACCTTGCTGTGTCGCGCAGTGGATAGAACACGTGACTCACAATGTGTGGGTTACGAGTTCGAATCCGGGTGAAAGGAGTGCGTCAAGCGATACCACCTGTTTTTTTTTACACGCGCCAGCACAAACTAATATCCATCACACAGACTCCCTGTGCATCGATAAGCTTTTATCAGGCGTCGATCAGAGTTGACAAAATAAACATCACATTTTAGAATCAGTGGCTTTCCAATGGAATGACTGGTTTCCTCCACAGGAATGTGGAATTTCACAAACGGTTCATTGCGGCAAACAGGAGATGAGACACCCGTTTGGACTATTCAAAGGCATTGCTTCCAAATCCTCCTGAATGCGCCCAAACTCATCAGCAGGGTTGAACCTGGTTCATACTTTGATGAGAGACTGCCTGGAAAATATCAAGAGCTGTAGGTTTTGGCTGAAAGCTGGCCAAGAAATGGCAAGACAGCACTGGATCCTTGAATCTATCCGTGCGGGAGTGTTATCCCTTTGTATATCTGGTGGGGCTTCCCCGGGGTACTCCAGTTTCCCCCCCCCACCACAAGCCAAACAACTCATAAATTGAAATGTACCAACGATCCCAGTGCAGATCCCTCTTGAAAAGTCTTGAAACTCAGGGTAAATACAATCGTCATTAACAAACGCTTACCATCGGAAATGAATGTTCACCGCTGTGCGCGTCCTCATTAGCACCGTAATACCGTGGTGCATGTTGTCAATTTTGACATGATTGATGTGTATACCGAGTCTGCCGTTCCATCTGCTCCATCGCCGACACAACATAGCCCGTGGCATTGAGAAACGGCCTCGGAGTGTGTGTGTGTGCTCAGAAATGTAATTGTGGTGCTGCCCAGGCTCGCAAGACAGAAGCTGCTTGAAGCAATCGCGTAGGGCCACCTGCAGCTTACAAATGAAGATGAACTCTTTGATTATTTCGGTAAAGTCACGACAAAAAACGAGCAAAACTGAATCAAATAAAGTTAGAGCAATGACGCAAGGAGAAAATCAGACACCAAAAATGATCGTGGAGAGAATTACAACAAATCGAAGAATCCAAGCGGCTCGCACGCGAGTCATGTTTTCGCCTCAAACGACATTCAGCAGAGCGGGAGCTACCTTGTCCTTGTTGGCGGCGGCGAGCTGCTCCTTGAGGGCCTTGATCTCGGCCTGCAGGGCCTCCATCAGCGCCGCGGCAGCTGCCGCGTGCGCAGCGCCCGCTTCAGAGCCCGCGTCCGCCGGGAGGGCCTTGCCGGGCGGGCCCTGCCTCGCGGCCTCCAGCTCCGCCTCCAGCTCCAGGATGCGAGACTTCTCCGAGACTGTGGCGGCCTGACCAGCCGCGCGTTAGTTCGCCCCGTTACTTTTTTAACCGTTCCAATTTTTTTGCCGGCAAATCAATCGCGTCGCGGACGAGGCAGTCGCCGGTGGCCAGACTTGTTTGTATTCATCGCCAAATATTTTACGAGTCGCTTGGTAAACCCGAGCAGGTGGCATGTTGCCACAGCCATAGCGGGAGGGCAACATTCTCCAGAATTATTAGCTAGGCCCGAGTCGGTGGTTTGTGACCAGTGGTCACACCCAGAGGGATGAATACTGGATGTGGTTGTTCAAAGTGATTTATTTCTCGCAGGATATTTTCCAGGTTGCGACAGTCACAGCGAGAGTTACACTAGGCCCGCCAAGCCAGACAAAGACCCGCTGAAATTTAAGCCCGGCTTGCGGCCGATTACCGAGGTTGGGCACACAGTTATTGAGCAGCATCGCACACAAAGCTGTGGCCCCAGGGGAAGGATATACACAAGGTGAAGTGGCATGTCTCCCACAGTGGGTTAAAAGTCAGAAGCGTTTGAAAGGCAGACGCAGCCCAAGGAACAAATCCGTGTAAGGCATTGCCTCGGAGGTGCGACCCAGACTATTGGAAACCAAAGTCAAGCGAACGTTAATGAGAAAAAAAGACTTGAAAGTGCCTCTCAAGCCACGAGGCCGTCACTCTCGAGCGATGGAACTGCCGGTGGGACCACCGTACTTTTCAGGGCGGCACTGCAGCGATGCCGCTACATTGTCGCGGTTTGCCCGTTTGATTTCAAGATTGAATTATTATCGGGCGTCGTTTGTGTCTTTCTTTCTACTGTGCCGACCGTAGCGCCTCGGTCGGAAGTCTCGTCACTACATTACATACAGCATACCTACAGCCCATTGGTCAATCCACTGCTGGATGAGGGCCTCCCTCCCTACGCTGATCGAGTCGTGGGCGTTACCTGACTGTACTTCATCACGCTGGCCACCGCGGGTTGGCGAATGCCAACCCTGACAAGCACGGTGGTTGCCCACGCAAGCACTACTATCCAAGAGGATAAATTTTTAAAACTAATTGGCGAGTTTTTTTTTAAGTCTTTTTTCTCCACCCATTACCGAAGCTTCGAACTCATGTCGGAGAGCCAGGAACACAGCACAGCCGTGCGACTAAAGTAGAACTGCGGAGGTTTTTCGCGGTTGTGCCGCTACGTGTTGTTCGTCGCGATATCTGATGTTTAGAGACCGCTTTGGGAAGAAGCTCCTGGGCACGTGGCGAGAAACTACGAACGACATGTAGCGGTACAACCCGCAAAAAACAACACATCGGACAGCTACAGCGCAGGTCAATAAATCTACGGTCGTTTGTTGTTGGATTGCGTCTGCCGTAAGATGATTAATTATTATTTGGCGCCATGCTTATTATAACCCAGCCAAACAACACAAAGCATTAGAAATAGTTAATTGCACAGGCAATTTTACAGAAACTTTCAATCCACCGTCTCTGTAATTGGCTACAATAATTGAATATTTTAGTTTTTTTTAAGCAGGTCGTTAAATACAACCTGCAGTCACAAAATAAGTAAAATATATACAGTACAACGTCGCATATCCAACTCGCTGGGGACTGATGTATGGGCGGATATGCAAGGAGGCTGGATACGTGAGCGCGTGTAGACGATTACACTTTTACGCGACGTACCAATTTTGTAACTGTACAAAAAAAATGAAGCGCCAATTGCTTTAAACAAGGCAAGAGAAGCCGCTTTACACCGCTTTAGGAGTTGGCGAATGCACGCAAAAATGAATACAAGATGATTGTACGTGAAACCAGGGCGGATTTGCGAACACCTGTGGGACAAAAAATTCACGGCTCCACCATGCACCACACGTCGCGCTGGGTGTGGGAGGCTATGCGACAGTCGGGACATGCGACGTTGTGCAGTAGCATGTTTAAATTCTGGATTGAAGGTTCAGTACCGTAAATAAATGTTCGTTTTTGTTTGTTTGTTCCGCATGATCGCTACGGACGGACAGTGTGAACGTTGCATCCCAGTTTACCCGCGAGTCTTCTAACTCTCTCTGCAGCTTCTCGGCTTTGGTTTTCTCAAACAGAAGGCTCTGCTCAAGCTCCTTAATGCGCGCATGCTCCAGTTTGGTTTGAGTCTGTTAGTCGAAAAAAATCCACACGCATGCAAAACTCACACCCACGCCAAAGATATAGACCGCACACCAATGAATGAACCGACATTTGATGGGGGGGGGGGGGGGGGTGAGTGTCAGACCACAAACAGCCACACAGACACCGAGGGTTAAGAGAGAGCAATCGGAGCAAGTACGAGCGCACGGCCGACAAGTCGATTAAACACACACACGCACACGCGCACACACGGAGAGAAAAAGGCAGTGTCGGAACAGAAGTCTAACATCCTGTAAACGTCAGTCACTCGCTCAGCTGCAGGCAGTCACCTCCTTAACACGCTTGTATGTATGTATTCTATCGCTACTTCTACTACCATGGTTAAACACATGCACGTGATTGCGCACATCGGGACACAGAGGGAGGCAACGTCAGAACAGAGGTCTCACGGCTTGTAAACGTCAGTCACTCGCTCAGCGGCGGTCGGTCGCATCCTTATCATTCTTGTATGTATGCATTCACTGGTCACACTTTTTCTGGCATAAGGTATTCCAACAGGTGTAAGGTAGTTTTGGGGTGCTGATTCCAAATCTGGCATCAGTTTTTGTCTATCACATCAGGTTTTTGAGATATCAAATATTACATTTTCAATAAAAACTGCAGAAGAAAAATATTAAATAAATGTGGATATCTACATAAAATGATATTATAAACACACTGTCCAAAAAATACAGCACCATATTCGCAACAACTTGCAATCATAAGTGACAGAGTTAAATTCGGGTAAAATCAATGAAAATGGGGTATGCCGATAGCATAAAAATGATGTGATAGAGCAAATCTGAGATCAGATTTGGAATCAGCACCCTGAAATTAGTCTAGGCCAGAATTTGTTTTTGTTGACCAGTGTTATTGTCGCTACGACTACTACTACTACCACCATAGTTGCTGTTACTGTTCCCATGAACTTCACTCATAGATTCCTCCGCCCGTGTTGAGAACTCGGTCGACCAGACACTGACTCTTTCGTCTCCATCCATACTGCATTCAATCTCCGCACTTGCAGGTCACAACATCGAACTCGCTAACCCATTCGCTCACAAACCAACTCGCTCATTCACCTGATCACCACAATGCAAGTCACAACACTTGTCTTTCAGCTTCTTTACCCTGCACTGCTCCACTTTGGAATCCCCTACCATCATCTCTTTTCCCCAAGCTCTTATAATAATAATAATAACCTTGCTCACTTCAAAAAACGTGTCACAGTTGTAATCGATAACGATTACTACTTTGCTAACAGTGCTGTTCGTTGCTGGCCATTTGACAATAAAGACACGCGCGCACACACACACACACAGCCGACTTGTCAGCACAAACCGATTGAACCCGACGGGAATAAGTGCACGTGCACACGTAAAGACACACAGATCCAGAGAAGTTGCGTGACAGCTCATGCACATGCAAGAAGGGACCACTGCTGCAAGAAGGAGCCATCGCTGCAAGAGGTTGCCACCGCAACAGGCAACAGAGAGTGGCAATTGGCAACGCCGCACCAGCTGTCGTCATACACGTATGTATGCACTTACATTGAACTTCTTTCACACCGTACATAGACAACCGTGCTAATCGGAGGTGTGCGGGGGGGGGAAGACAACAAGCTAAACACAAAAATCAGTTGTGAAGAAATTAGTTAAATAGGTGTGGCACACGAGTCCCAGCATCGTACTGAATTAAAAAAGCACGATTTCAACTTGTACCTCGCCACCGCATGGTATTCACTCGCTATTTTTAAGAGAGAGGCGAGACTCCAGAGGCGAGAGGAGGAGCCACAGACAATCAGAATCAGAATCTTTGTTTATACCGGAGGAATCCGATAAGCTATAAAGCTCTTTTTAACAGATGCCCAGCAGTTTTTGACTAAAGTCCAGCGGGAAGGCGGCAGCCAGGCGGTGACCCAGCAACCAAATTGTGCCCCCCACCCCAAGCTCTGCGCTCATCTACATATTAAGGTGTTTTCGACCAATTAATGAGTGTTTATATTCATGTAAGGAAAATGGAGCACCCGGAGAAAACGCACGCATGCAAAGGGGACAACACTCTCATCCCGTACGAATGGAACAGTTGGGAGTCTGCATGGCTGTGACCGCCGCGGGATCAAACAAGAATGTGGGCTAGTATCATGCCGGTTAGGAATCATCAGTTGAGTATGGGCAATCATTGCCTCCCCCTATCCAATGGTGCCTGATGTACCAGTGAGGAACGTGCTTGCGATTTCTTACACGCCGATTATTTTTAAACATCTTGACAAAGACTATATGCTCTCGGTGTACCTCCAGGTCGCCCTTCGTAATGGATTCCTCCTCCACCCGAAATTGCAGGTCTTCCACCCTTCTGTTGAAGACAACGTTAAGTGGGAGAAACTGAATACAATTAAAAATACATGCGCGCGCACGTGACCATTTACGAATTTCTCCCCTAAAGTTTTTCGTTTTTCAATTAAAATACTGTCTTTTTTGTTCTTATACTCTTTGGTTCTTTCGGTAAAGTCACGTAGGTATAAAATAAAATAAATCAGGACGTTTCGATTGCAACACAAGCAATCATCATCAGGTGGAAAACGTCGTGATCTATTTTATTTTATACCTACGTGACTTTACCGAAAGAACCAAAGAGTATGGATTCCTGCAGTCACGAAAGCTTCAAATCTTTGTTTTTCTCGTTGTCTCTCTGTCGCCATCGCGGCAAGAGATGACGCGTCCATCCAGAACTCTCACGAGCGCAGTGCATCGTCACTTTGTTAGAGTACGGCCCTCCGGCCGAGGGCGATATCGCCCACGGATCACAGGCCAGAGGGAATCCCTTCATGCGACTTCTGGAGATGCCTTCAAGCGTCAAGCGGCCTCATCATTTGCTAGAGGGAACGCACTTTCACACGGGCCCTACAACAGTGAAATGTTCACCGCACGGCCCTCAACCGGAATATTTTTGTTGTCGATTCTCAAAGCTGGATTTATTTTTGGTGGAAAAAAACAACGAATTGCCGATTATTGTGTCTTTGGTCATTGGGGCTGTGACGATCAAACTCGCAGGTGAAACCTGGATTCGAACACAGGCTCTTAAAGGTGCTGGTTCATTGCCCCCTCTCTGAACCCTGAACCACCCAGCCACATCCCATGAAGGTAAAAACAAATGTTAAACACGAAACTCAACTGAGAGGAAAGTTGAATTTCTATTAAAACTCTGTTTCGTGTAATAACTCTCAAGATTACCACGCTCTCGCAGGCTTTTATTTTAGATGGTACATTTAATCTAAAAGGGTACTTCATTCGATTAAAGACGTTAACTCAAAAGGAGAAACTTTAAATAGCCGCTCAGTTCTACTGAAACTCTATTTCAGTGGAAACTGAAACTCTAATTCAGTGGAACTATTTGTACTCTCGTGTCCTGTTCTGTTTTTAGCCCTCCTCGATCAATAAACAGGACCATCGTCTGTGTAACAAAGAAAATCAACTTAAACGTAAGGACATCTCCCACACTCCAATGCAATCCATTTTAGAGTCTTTGGGAGTTGACCGGGTGGCTCATGAAGCTAATTAAACGATAGAAGTGCGAGCTGGCACCCCACACAGATCCGCTGGGTTCAAGTCTGGGTTTCCGCCGCCCGTGATTAAACTGGCTTCTCAAGCGGAGCGACTTTTTGATAGCTTCAGCTCACTCGACCATTGAACGCGTAAAAAAAACTAATATTCCATTTGTTTTTTTCCCACCCAATTCCAATTCTGTCTGCAGGAATTACAAACTGCTGATTTTATTGATAAACAGGCAACTCACAACAATCCATCACGTACATTTTAGTTTTTTCACCGACTTTTGTCCAAAACCATCCGTCTCTTGAGAGTAAAACAAATATATCGGTTTAAATGCCATGCAACGAGCATCTACAGCAGAACAAGCGGGAACATTTGACTCTTCATTCTTTTCGGCTTATTCCACTTTATTTAATTTAAACGTTGGTTTGACCGACACGTGACGAGGACTCATTGCAGTTCATCGATAAAAATGGCTGTCAAATAATTACCGATGATTGTTATTACTAATTGGGAATCAATGGTGTGACCCCAACTCTCTCACTCACCGTCTCTCCTCCTCCAGCTGATTGAGCAGCTCCACCTTCTCACGATCGGCTGCCTCCACCAGAGTCCGCAGGCTGTCCATCTTCTCCTCCGCTTCAACCACAAACTGTTTACGGAACACGAGGAAGATCGCACGGAAAGCACGGACGAATGAGACTCGAGAGAAAATGGCAACATAAAGGAGAATAGATGACCGTGAAGATAACCGCCGTGCAGACGGCGCAAAGACATCGGCTCATCCGCAGGAGGGAAATGGTCTGTGAAGAATGGTGACGAGGTTTGGAGGCCTACATCCAGCAGGGGAAAATCAATAAAGATGGGGATGCTAAGTGATGAAACATGCGATGCTGATAATTTTATACAAATTACATATGCATGATGAGGATGAAGTTTTCAATAAAACTTATGCATATGACGATAATGACAATGGCATGCATCGGCAGTGGGAATGAGGGCAGCGATCTAGCACCATGAAAGGTCACACTTGCAAGAGGCACAATGTTGTTTCGTGCGTCTAAATGGGTTTATTTATTTAACCTTCTGGTTAAATAAAGGACGACAACAACAACAAGAATAACAGACCAAAGATGAATGTAAAGAGATCAGCGAAGAAGCAGCAGCGGAGAAGAGACGCAGTGACGCATCGATGCGTCACGAACCGAACCGAAGCAGACTGCCTCCCCTCCCCACCCGCCCCATCACAGTGATCGCGAAGATCAAGAATGGACCGAAGTGGAATATGATCATTGGGAGCCTCACCTGCGAGTGCGCGTGTCTTACGAGAGACAGCTCCTGCTCCACCTCCCCAACCTGGCTGGTGGCTCGTGCCACCTCGGCGCGCTCCATGTCCCGCTCGGCCATCAGCTGCTCGATGTGCTGCTGCTTCTCCTTGAGCGCCTCCTGGAGCGCCGTGTTCCCCGCGATCTTGCGCGAGTAGCGGGCGGACGTCTCCGCCAGCTGCGTGGACACACACACACGTGGAGTGGGTTTGGGTGGGTTTGGGTGGGTTTGGGTGGGTTTGGTGTAGGTGATAAGCCGCTTCGTTGAGCTATCATTTGTGATGGCAAGGTCGCTTCTGAAAAAGAGCTACATAGATCAGTGGACCTCCTTTCCTGGGTAAAAAAAAAATGTAAAAAAATATCTATATATAATAAAAAATGTAATAAAAAAACGTACCAGGCCGGTGCGGCTGGGCTTGGCGCTCACGGACGAGGCCACGGAGCTGAGCGTGCTGATGGAGGAGGCGCTGGGGCTGCGCTTGAGCGCGGCGATGCCCGAGCTGACGGTGCGCCGCGTGCCCGGCACGGCGCCGCCGGCCTTCGCCTTAGCCGGCGTCGTGGACGGGAAGCCGATTCGCGTCACCTTGTGCGTCGGAGCGAAGAGGCCGTACTTGGGCTGGCATTGGAAATATCTTCATGCAAGGGGGGGGGAATGGGGTGGAAAAGATGAAACCAGTTTGTTGTTGTTAATACTGCTATCGTTAGGCTCTGTTTTCACAGCCACTCGCACTGCAATCGCGGTCAAAATTGGTAGTGGTAACCATGAAGAGTCGCGATCCAATTGCAGGAGGCCTAAGGGACCAACAGGATAATGGGGACGAAGGCAGACAGCACAACGATGGAGGAGGGCAGGTGAGATTCGTCAGTTCAACCGCAGTAGAGCGTGGCTGAAGCTTCAGAGAAGATATGCTCGACGGGCCCACCTTGCCCAATAGACCGCACACGTGGGGTCGGCTTCTCATTGGTCTACAGAGGAGGGGGCTCGAATTATCTGGTACCTGGTGCCAGCCACAGAGCCGTCGTTCTTGCCCAGAGGCTCATCCAGTTCCACGCCGCACCACTCGCCCTTGGCAAAGTCCGCCTCGCCAAGAAACCTCACCACGCCCGCCTTCGTGCCACTCACCTTGGGAGGGGAGAGGGGAAAGGTCACACCAAGCGGTGTTTAAAGAGGGAGCGGTATGCGCTGGCATTATGCGCAAGAACAGAATGGACAGTGCGACACACCAGCAATAATACGCTCTGGGGGGAAACAAATAAAATCACAGATATTAGTAGAAGGTAAATGTTTAGCCCTGCAATTTCTAGCTCACACCACTGCTGGTGGAAGGGCCACCATATGCCCTCGAGAGGTAATTTGGTCTTCTCATCCACCTTGGCCAGGCATATTGGAAGAGGTTGTTGATACCCACACTTCACCCCACCGCAAGCGATCTGCAGACCGACTAAGCGCGGCATACCCATTTATACTGCTGGATAACAATATGACATTATAACATTTAGTTGCACGGGAGTAGCATTACGTAGCCTATAATGTATTACTAAATGAACTAGAATACCATTACACTGTATCAAATCCATATTAAATGCACTCAAATACTGTTATGTCGTATATTGTGCATATAAAATGTGCTCGAAAACTTTCATGCACGTATATTTAGCAAATTAAATGCGGTGAGAATACCGTTACGTGGTACGTATTATTTCATGCCCATTACGAGCTCCTATTATTTCAAGCCAGTTTCAAGGCTGTTAAAAAGAGTCACCTGCCACGGAAACCATCCGACAAACATTTACATATTTATTGGGCAACAAGGGGGAAAGTGACATTGGTCGTCGTTGTGCAAAGGTACGATGCCGCAGATGTTGGAGACCCTTTAAGTTGAGATTTATTGTAAACAAAGACGTAAAATGCAGTCATTTACATGAGCGTGAAATTAGACTGCCGTGCGGCCTATTTTCAGCGGTCGCGCGGCGATGACGGAATGAGAATTTGCGTGCATGAAACACGACGTGATCGCGGTAATCTCAAAGGAGGGAAAATGAAAAACAGCCCAAACTTCACCCTGGGATGGACCACGGCCAGGCACACGTGAAACGGTGTTGAAGCATCCTGGGAGGTTTCGTGACAGCTAGAGACAAGAAAAACGATGTTGCCGACAAGACGGATGAGCGGTGAGATTGATGAAAGAATCCTAAAGTGCATTCCCAACGAGCCAACATTGCCCCCTACTGGCAAAAGCAGCGCCTTCTTGATATCCTTGCGTGATAAGAACGACGATATCAGGATCGCATTGGATGTACTGATGAGACACTGCAATGTCGAAACCGTTCGAGAGTTTTGCTCGTCTTGAAACAATGCTTCTGAAAACGATGCACTTACAGAAGGCCATGCGGCCGGTTGGTTGTGTCGTTACCATTCTTAAATTTTTTTAGGTGGAGATGTATCGTCTGCATTCTTTTTTTTTGCATTCTCCACAATGAGGTCAATGCTTATTTGGTGTCGGAAGGTTAGACGTGCGGTCGGGAGCTCTAGGAAGAGTTGATGGTTGCTGAAACATTACCATCAGCACTATTATTATCGATGATGTGTCCTTACCAGTACGCGGTCGCCAATCTTCAGTTCCCGCTCGCCCTTCTTCATCGACCCGGCTTCCGACAGGTTCGACACCGACCCGCTCGTCATCTTGCTCATCGACGCGGGTGTGGACGAGGGCGGCCTGGCTGTCGGCGGCGGCAACGACGGCGGCTTTGTCGTCGTCACGGGAATACTTTTGGGGGTCGCCGAGCTTGCCGGGGTCATGACCTGCGGGGACGAGACGGTGGCGGCCTCGGAAGAGGAGGACGGAGGGGTGGCGCCGCTGGAAGACGCTCGCGTCGCCGTAGCGGCCGTCGCGGCGTTAGGAGACGCGTCGGTCTCGGCGGCCTCGCCTTCGTCAGCCGTCGATGCCAGCTTGGAGGGCCGCGTGAAGACGCCGTGCAAGGGGCGGCACTGGAAGTAGCGCACGCCCGCCACCGAGCCGTCGTTCTTGCCGACGGGTTCTTCGAGCTCGATGCCGGCCCAGCGGCCCGGGGCGAATTGCGCCGGGCCCAGGAAGCGCAGCGTGCCGGCCTTGGCGCCGTTGACGAAGACGCGCTCGCCCACCGCGAAGGCCGACTCGTCGCCGCCGCCGCTGCCCGCGGCCACGCTGCCGCATTCCGACTCGGGAGGGGACGATGGCGCCGATGGGGACGGCGTCGCTCCACCTTTAACTGTCGCACACACATTGGGAGAGTGCTATTCAAGCTTTTTTTTTTTTCATTAGGTAAGGCCCAATAAAATATAGAGCTCTTTTATTTAATGACCTGGACACATATGATAACTCAACGAAGTGGCTTAACGAGTGGAAATTTATAGCAGCCAAATACTCTAAACACATGTTGATTCCAAATGCGGAGGGAAAAACTGGAGAACACGGGAAAAAATCCACGTGACCGTGGGGGGAGAGACACCCAAACTGCAAATATACAGCAGGCGTCAGGGCCGGGATCGAATCAATGACCTCTTGCATACCAGGCAAGGTAGCCAACATCTCACCACCACGGCGAGATGTTAAACAGAAGAATGCTAGGCAGGTCACGATTACCTTAAACGTCAAGGCCCGATTCTTAACCTCTCAGAGTGCTCTTCTTGGTTCTTTCGGTAAAGTCACGTAGAAGGGAAATAATAAAATAATAATATAAAAAACATAATAAAATAATTCTCACGACGTTTCGGCCACAACGTCTTCAGACGCTGTCTTTCCGACAGACCTGTTCTTCAGACGCTGTCTTTCCGACAGACCTGTTCTTCACCTGAGGACGGCTGCTTACGTTGTGGCCGAAACGTCGTGAGAATTATTTTATTATTATTATTATTTTACCGAAAGAACCAAGAAGATGAATCCCTGCAGTCACAAAAGCTTTAAATCGAAACTCTCAGAGTGCATCGGACGTGTGTCGAATTGTGCACGTGGCATAGCGCTCTGTTGAGTCTCGGTAGATTTTTAATGCGTTTTAATTTTTTTAAATCTATGTTTAATCAGCGTTTCTTGAAAAATGAGCCGTTGATATCAAATGTGGTGTTGACTCTTGGAATGTAACATAATAACAATAGTATTGAAGTACATCTTAAACTGTAAAAGGTTTAAGCGTGAAATTAAACCAGCTCAACTGGTGGGAATTTTCAGCACTCCTATGTGGTTTCTGGGTAATACCTTTCAGTTTAAGGTACACCTAATTAGTATTGTTATGCAATGTCCCAAGAGTAAATATCAAATTTGAGACAAACACCCCTTTTTCCAAAGGAGACTGATTGAAAAATAAATACGTAACAAAGTAAAGAAAACAAATCAAATGGAAACCAAAAACAAATTAAATTATACAAGATCCATGAACAAAAATAAACAGACTTAATCAAAAAATCCAAATGTAAACAGCTCGTGTGAAATTGAGGCAAATGGGAAAAGTAGTCGCATGCAATCGTTGAAACAAAAGCAACATATAATGCAATTTGGATTGTTGGCGTTTGGGAGTTGGGGAAAACACAAATTAGATCAACGTCTCACCTTGTCATTACTCTTTGGTTCTTTCGGTAAAGTCACGTAGGTAGAAAAATAAAATAAAAAATTATATATCACGACGTTTCGATCGTAACACAAGCGGTCGTTCTCAGATGGAAAAAATAATCCAGCAGTGGAACTGCTGAACCAGCGAGAGAGCTGTTACATCAAGAGGTTATACAGGCAGTCCTCTACTTGCGATGGAGATGCGTTACGACGACCTCATCGTAAGTCGAAAATATCGTAAGTCGAAGATGGCCTAGCCTACCCAGGAGTCTTAAAGAATGGTGATAATTTATCAAAACAGAGCAATTTACAATACCGTACTGTATAAACTATATACTGTATGTATTTATTAATTACAATACTGTATTGCACAGTAAAATGTAAAGTAAAAAAACAAGGTAAATTCTTAACCTAACCAATATGAACTGCAATTTAATAGAAAGTTTTTTCAAGAAACAATCCTATCTGCTATAAAAACTTTTGACATACATTGAACGTATCGTATCATGGTAACCTTAAAATGAAATCGCTAAAGCTACGTAACATACATGCATTGAATGTATCGTAATGTATCATATTGTACTGTACTCACCAAGATTCTGTCTGTCGTCTGCATACTTGAACAATGTTAGGTTGTTGATGGCAATTTTGTCATATCGCTATCGCCATCGTAAGATTGAAAAATATCGTAATTCGGGGACTACCTGTATATGTGGTTTAACTTTGTGCGTTATTGTTGCATAAAATAAAACTCTACGTTAATTCCAAACGGCACGCGAATGTAAACCATGTATATGTATGTTAGGCAGGTGTCTCGAGTGGTTTAACTTTGTGCGTCATTATTTTGGAGAGCATCTACTACGGTACAATTTAAGGAGAAAGCGGTCCATGGCACATGGTGGGCTCACAGGGTGGCCAGCAGAGGGCAGCCAAGTCTATTGCCGCGCCGGGAGATGCGTGGGGATTGAACCGGCGACCCTCTGGATTTGCAAGTCCAGCGCACTGCCAACCATTAACAACCGCAGCGGCAGCATCCGCGCCTAGCATATACTGAACATATATTTAGGAAATAATAGAATTACACCGGTGTCGGACGTACAATTTTCCACACCGTGCCTCGTTTTAGGCGGACCCTCGCACAAAAGCGGCAATTAAAAATAATTCGTCACGCTGAATGAGTCCTCGCGGTAGCCGTCATCGGTATTTCGTCCTATTAATAGCACCAGTTATCTGCGTCACGACGTACCGCGTGTGGCCTCAGCTCTATCTGCTCGTCCCTTAGGAGCCACCTTATCCAGCACCACGGTGCAACGCGAGCTGGCAAACGATGCTACGCCATGGTGCACTGTGAGCCGCGAAGCCAACAGCAACTTCCAGTGCCTGCCGCCAAGGTGAATTTTTCTCGGGAGATCAAGGTTAAAATGTATTTTAATCCCACAGTACATAGGATTTTAAATGTTAACCCGAGCTCTAAGCCACGCTGTTAATGGAAGCACAAAGCCCGTGGAATAATAATCCGAATAGAAAATAATGTACAAAAAAATCTTGCATAATTCCATTGGCAAATTAAAATTCATAACACAGGCCACACAGTGTTTTCCTCGAGAAGCGAAATTAGTATTCTCTCATGGAACATTGAGGAGCGGCAGTCAACGGTAAAATGTGGCAGCGATATTGGCTTACATATATGAATATTGCTTAGAAAACAAAAGTTATTCGATGTTGACTGCACTACGGTTGACGTTGTGCATGATCTTGACAATATTCTGCGGTGGTAAAAGGTGCATGGCTAAGCATAACTTGCAACGTAGAATTCTCCAATTTGATTTGATGTTCCGGCGCCGCATGTATGAACAATAATGCAAGTTTCTAAAATCCCACCACTGCCCCCTGCCTCCCCCACATCGCCTCTGCTCACCCAGCAGTATAAATTGGTACAACCACAGTCAGTCCATTGGCAGGTCACGTGTAGTGGGGTAAAGTGTGGGTACACCCACCGCTTCCAAGACGTCTGATCAGCATGAGAGGGTAGGCCAAATACCCTCTTGACTGTCTCTCTAGAACTCCCTCTAATGGAGGCTCTTCCACAGGCAGTGCAGGGACTCCTCTACTTATGAGATACGAACAAACCTGTCCGTATGTCCAGTTGCCTGTTTGGACCAAGAGTCGAAAGTTTAACCACCGCGTAATAGATGGCGATGGTGGCATCTAGATCTGCAGAACATGAAGAACCAGTGGTATCTACAACTTTTTAAATCATTCCCTGAGTTTAGCGTACACGCCGTACAACATGTTTGGAATCGACAAGAGTAAAGTTGGACTTAGGAACAAATTGACTTACGAACAGACCTCTGGAACCGAAGTTGTTCGCAAGTGTAGTCCCTGTAGTGTGTGCAGGCTATTTTATAGTTTCCGCGTTGCTCATCACCTAACACAATAAAATCTTCCAGAAGTATAAATCTTCTCCGTTCATATACAAATTCAATCAGAAATACTGCTGCATGTGCCTGCTGTTTGGTAAACACGTCCCCATATCTATTTGTAGTGACATCGCGGATGTCACTGTGTAATGCCGGCCCGAGAGAGGAACGGCGTGCAATGTAGTGACATTGCGGACACCACGTATATATGTGGGTGCAGTACCGGCCCTAGACAGTGCTAGATGGCGCCACGCTCTGCGTGCAGTGCCGACCCCTACAGGATAGGGTGTGAGAGTGCCAGCCATGGAAATGAGGTTACTAAGGGCCATGGCACTCTGGTTGACCCCGATGGACACGTGACCGGTAAAGTCTACTCAGGGGGCCCCCAGGTAGGGGCTAGGGGTGGTCACGTGTCAGGGTCGAGATCCTGCTCGAGGATTCTAGAAGGTGGTCGTGGCTAAGGGCGGAGCCGGACACACCACAGAGGATATAAGCCGGTCCCCGAGAAGGACCGGCTGCTGTTGTTCATTCTGTAGAATCTACGTTCTACGTCCAACACGAAGTCACCAAGACGTGGACCTGGACCCAAGCTGTGGTCTGGTCCGTTGTAGCTAGCTCCTGTGTAATAAGTGCAGTTAGCCTGGTGGTCTACCACCATAGGTTGTTATCTTGTTAAGGGACAGTTACCCCGTGTGTTGGTATTAATAAATGTGTTGCGTCCAAGAAATGCGTCTGCTACTCAGTTGAACCCACGACATATTGACAAACAAAGATAAAGATCCCCCATGTGGCATTTGACACTGTTGGAGCAAGTGCTGTTCATGCGCTGTTATTATGGCTGGCATGGCACATGGATGGATGGGTGGCTAGCACCACGCCTGGCCACCTTTGTCTCCCAAATGCTGTTTTAGACATTGCAGCAGCTACTCATTTAAGGCCGAGTTGACCTAGGGGAGGCCCTATATATTCGTGACTGACGTTAACTAACTGCGAGTGGGAATTGAACTCGGTTTGCCGGGTTCACAGCGGGGTGCTCTAACCACAACACGAGCGCTCCACGCACAAGATCTTGAAAATGTTCCGCGGTGGTGGCAAGGTGAACGGTTAGCACAATGGGCTTGCAAAGGAGAGGTCAGCAGCTTGAAACACACAAACGCACACACACCTAAGGTCTGAATCAAAATATCAATCGCCAATCAGATACATGCAGCGTATGGCCACTTAATTTGTATTTGAGCCAAGGAAATGTGTAAGCATGGAAATACAATCTGAGTTGGGTCAGAAGTGTAATGGCTTCAATTGAGGCGCACACTTGATCTTGGAGGCAACACGTTTGTTCATTATCCCAACAGGTAACTCTCTACTTAACCGGATAACGACTCAGGGTGGTGACCACCACGAGTAACTATATACACTTGGAGGTGGAACACCACAGGTGACTATCTACACACTGGATGGGATAACTAGTAAATCGGACCAGGACAGCCAACACGCTGCCTGGTCCACGTGCGCAAAGACCCGAGACCGAGGACCCACGAAGACAGAGGGTTTCTTCCCAGAGATGAACAACCACGATCACCGCCAGGACTCAGATTTTATCCGCTGCGGCGTAGCCTGACCCAGCCCTTGGCCACGCCCCTTTTCCAGATCCTTCTCGACGATTCGGGGCCCACATCACGTGTCCCTCTCACCTCCTCTCTGGTCCTCGTTACCACCTCATCCGGTCACGTGCCCCCTCGGGTTCACCCAGACTGTTGTGCCCTCACTCAACCTCTCCCATGGTATACTCACCTCAGGTGCTAGGGAGAGATTCCGCACATACAGCACCACTCGCTCGGTACTGTCGCTACACTCTAGTGACATCATTAATGAAACTTGAGAAACCCTGGCAGTGACTGAAACACGCGACAGTGTCGCCAATAATTACAGAGTAAGGAGACATGTAAATGCCAATGTAATCCCAATGAAGATGCACGGCAATGAGCTGCGAGCTCGCCCGAAGATGGCAGAATGGAAACCACACACTCCCAAATGTAATTAGCCAAACATTCCAAAGTGGTGAAACTGTCGTAAAAAACAGTTTTGAGGCTCAGCGAGGTTTTCCTGGGCAAGTAATACCCCTCTTCCACTGGCACATCTGTGTCGAGACAACGCAAAGCCTTCGCAGTCATTTTCCACTGGTTATTTGCGGTGCCAAGACAGACTCTAATGCACGTGCACATATACACTGGCCTCACAAGACGACATCTCAAATCTGGCTCGGGGTCAAGCAGGGACAGGGCCGGGCTTACTGGCTCTTTCACTGCGTGTGAAGTCAGTCCGTAACCCCAGAAGGAAACTGCGTCGTCGAGTCTAAACAATTCATAAGCTATTTTTAATTTGCAAGGTAAGGCACACTGAGCTGTATAGCTCTTTTTCAGAAGTGACCTGGCCACAAATGATAGCTCAACAAAGTGGCTTCTCGTCATGTGGACATTTATGGCAGCCAAATACTCTTAAATGCACGTTGATCCTAAAATGTGGAGGGTAAAAACCAGAGGGCCTGTAGGAAAACCCACGCGACCACAGGGAGAACATTCAAAGTCCAAATATACAACACGAGTCAGGGTAGGGATCAAATCCACGACCTCCTGCATACCAGGTGAGGTAGTTAACATCTCGTCACCACGGCACCTCAAGACGCACGTGTCATCTACGTGCGTCTTGATTCACCGACTGCGCGTGACGTCAGCAGCACGGCTTGGCTTCTGCAGTGGAAAGACGACCTGCTGCAAACCTGAAATGTGGCAGTCTGGCTCGGCACAACCCAGTTGTATGGCGGAAAGAGGTTAAAGGGCATGAGTATTTGTAAGCAGCCAGGTGGCTCAGTGCTAAAAGGTTGCGAGTTCAAATCTTGGGCGGGTGTTAACCTCAGCCCATCATCCCTCTGGAATCGACAAAAATTATTATCACTTTGTGGGCAAGTCAATAGTGGTTATCCTATGGAGACACTTTCCCCCACCATAAGATTGAGGAATGTCCACCAATGGCTCAGGGCTGTAAACAGAATAGATTTTACTTTAGGAGTAAGGGCCTATGACCTGTTAGGCTCATTTAGTGGGTGTCATTCGAGGGTCCAAATGAGCACCGCCTCAATGTTCATTTTAGAAGAAAACCACTTTGACTTTGGACTTTTACCCTTTCCGAGACGTCTGAAAGTTGCAGGGTGGGTTCCCGTTCACCGCCGAATCTCAGTACGCACAAGCGGTTCACGTTAATTTTATTTAGAGAGGCATAGCGTTGCTGTTTTTAAAAGACATTTTGCAGCACTCACCGCAGAAAACTCTACCAACACAACCGTACGATAGAGAAGCTGGCGCCAAACTGTGCCACGCGCCCTCCCGCACGACCTTTTACTTTCGATTCCCTTCGGAATCGATTCCGTTCCGATGACGTAAACGTGGGTAAGGGGCTAATTATAATTGTCACTCACCATCTCTGCAGGGCCTGGCGATCGCACTGGCCGGTTTGGCAATCTTGCTGGGGGCCTTTAGCCCGCTGGGCTTCAACGAGCTCATGTCCGCCCTTCGACGAGCAGCGCATCCAAGCACGAGTGACGCTATGCAGGCTTCAACGTGGCCAAATGTCCAGCTGGCAGGCTCTGCTCGATTTGACCACCATCCAACAGAGACCTGGATTATACAAAGAAAAGTCATTCCCAGCAGTTAGCATCCCAGCATTTCGAACAGTGAGCAGGCATGTAATTATTCGATTTCTTGAACCGTGAACAGGATTTAAATAAAGATTCTACTTGTTTTTGGCATCGTGGTGAATGCAGTAGCTGTAGGCTGAGGGGATGTGAGCCGATCACACATGACATATCCAAATGAAACAACGTTAAATTATCATGTGTGCAATGTGACGCATGTATCAGTGTATCAATACAGGGCTACTATTGTGTAAAAGCCTAATTTATTGTCCGCAGTTTTTCAGAAACACGCATTTTTAAAAGTTGAATAACAAGTTTATGAATGATAATAGAGTAGTGGCTCAGTGGTTATAACGCTGCTCTTTGGACTCTTAGCCACGGCTTACATCATTGGGGAGTGATATTGCAAATGGACCTGGGCCCCTCTCTTCACCAAACCACGTGGACCAGGGTGGGGAAGTATAGTTAAATAACTCTCAAAATCAACATGGTATTCAGCAGTGTAATGCCAAAGGCCTTCATTCAGCAGTGTAATGCCGAAGGGATGTAAGTAGTTATATTGTTAATGCAACTATAATCGGTTACGAGCTATACAAGTCTTAAACATTACAGGTTTGGTTTTGGGAGTTTGGGGAATTCTCATACTGTACAGAAAATCCAGCACACTGCTGGTAGTGAAGCTTTAAAAAAAAATGTAATTCTTACAAAGGCGACATACCTAAATCTGGCCCTAAGGAAATCCAGTACACTGGTAGCTTAAGTTAAAAAAAAATGTAATTCTTAAAAAGAATGCATACCAAAATCTGGCCCAGGGCACGGGGTTGGGTTATGGGAAGGGCTGCTGTAATTTATGGGAGGCATTTTGCAACAATTACATTTCACAGCTGGAAAACCTGGTCTGCAACGTGCTAATCACAGTAAATCAGCCGCACATTAATTAAGCCTTAATTCTTTGTAACAAATATATTGAAGTGAGGTAATCGGCATGATTAAATCTCCACACGCTGCGGGCTTTTCTTGGCCCGAGATGTTGACGGGCGCTCAGTTTTGTCAAAAGTTTTGCGGCACACAACAAACATTCAGCGTATGAAAATGTATGAGATTAAATATCAGTAATCGGCTTTGTACAGGCTTACAGTCTTCTAAGATAGAAAAAAAAACCATGAGCCCGTATCACGTTCTCCCAGTGTTCACTGTCATTTCTGATAAAAACTCAAGGGACAGCTTAGGCATGTGTCGCACAAGCAGCAGCCAAAAACACCTAATGACAGCGATATTTAATTAAGCCGGAGCTAATGTTGTACTTATTTTCTCTCAAAATCATGCTGCACTTTGTAATACACGGATTTTGGACCAAGTGTTTACTTCAATGTGATAGTGACAAACGATTAACTTCACGTTTTCAAAAATGTGATCTTGGAGGGAGCCTTACAATAAATCTTTTTTTTTTATAATATTGTTCATGAAGTGCTAACACGTAGCAACCGTTTATTGTATCATCGTCGTGAGTTACGGTTAAGCCACTGATGGATTAAGTCTGCCACCCACCCTCGCGATGCTGTCATATCATCACTTTGTTGACACCGCCGTGTTTATGCGTGCACGTTCACTTGTATATTTCTGCACAAGAGTGCGCGCCTAAGTAAGGGTGACACACTCACGATGCACAACACCTCACAGCAGCTGCGTCCTGCTTCGTGACAACGTTAATTTATTTGAGCTGTTATTTTAAACGCGTCTGCCATGAAAAGGGAGTTGCCAAGTCACGATATACCACCACCACCACGCGGTCGTTTCAACACCACCGACCCGACCACTGCCAATGCTTGTGGATGATGGAATTAAGTTGGGTGGTGCCATTGAAATGAATCAAAGTGGTATCCTTAAACGAAAAAAATTGCCTCCACCGCACACACGTGGCAGATCTCGTCTGACCAGAAAAAAAGATGCTCGGTTGACCCCCTCCCACCCCTCCTCCTGCGGCGCTGTTCACTCCACACCACCACAACGCCCCTTTGAAAATATTTTAAAGCCCCCTCAGAGAATACATATTGACACGTGCTGAACGACAACAAATCTGGGGCTATTTACGAACAAATTTACGGAGCGGTGGGCGATTCGGAGACGCTTACAGAAGAAGTGGCACGAGTGACGTTGGTAGTTGCGCAAAAATAGATCTTTAGCGACCAGTGACTCCGATAATGACATCAGCTACCGCATTGAGGAGAGGAAATGCACAGCTGAGATACGATATCTTGTTACCAGCGGGCGTATCCTTCATAGAGCACGTACTTAAAACATTGTCGCGGCAATTCAATCGATAATGAGAAGATTATGATGATGGACGGTTTTATACACGTTTACACAGTTGAAACAACGCAGTATGAAGGCACGCGTGTGTGTGGCATATTTACATATTTGAGGAGGCTCGTGACAGACGCTACTGAGCATTTTGGAGCCAATCGCCCTCCAACAACAGAGAAGCGACGCTCACAACAACGAGCAGAGCGCCGGGTGGATAAAATAGAAAACAAGTTGGCTCAGTAGGGGTGGGTGGGGAGGGTTATAGCTGGTGGTGCATCTACGGGTCATCTCAGTCAAACAACCCATGGCACCTGCTGAATCTGGTCCAGAGACTTCCTGAAAGCACGTGGCGGTCTCAGAGTGCACACAGCCTGGCACAGGCGTCGTGGTGACGTCACCGTCACCTCGTGGCGAATTCCTGGTGTGGAATATTTAAATGACCATTATTTTACGTGAACGGTGTCGGCAAGCTAAACAGGACCCTGCGGGGTGGGCTGGTAGGAATAATACTTAGTACCGGTACAGAGATATCGACCGGGTATAGAGGAGTTAAAGAAAAAATTACTGTATTCTAGTGTAACGTTCATTAAAAGTGTTTGTTTTGACAAGAAACGCTGTGAGATTTAAAGACTCGTAGTCTTTCATTTCCAACACCACCCTCAACACCACCCCTCCCACGGACGGACGGACACATTAATCTATTGGTGGTCTGGTCCACTTCGTTCCTACCAGTATAAACTACACGTTTAGACGTTAACCAGCATACGCCAATGGGCCACTTTGTGAAAGGCAAAACGATGTTTATTCGTAGCAGTAAAACCTTGGATTGCGAGCATAATTCGTTCCGGAAACGTGTTTGTAATCCAAAGCACTCGTATATCAAAGCACTCGTATATCAAAGCACTCGTATATCAGTTGTGATAACTTGATGCTCGGCAGACAAAGCGTATACACGTACTACTCGCATTGCAAGACCTCGCTCGTTGATCAAATTAACATTTATTTACAATTTTTGCTCGTCTTGCAAAACACTCGCAGACCAAGTTACTCGCAATCCAAGGTTTTACTGTAATTCATATAAACTACCGTGGTCCACCCCCCCTGCGGCCTGTCAACGTGTACCGCCAAAGTCGCATCTAATCCCGCAAGAAAACTAGTCGACAAGGGGTGGTGGTGGGGGGGGGAGTGACACCCTCCTTACGTGTGACATATTTAATGATACCCAATGGGCGTTGCGTTTAAGTCATACAACATATATGCTTAATAGCATTCACGTCTCTCAAATGTGTGTAAGTGTAACTTAACACCAGCCGTGACTTTGAAATCTAACTTTGGACTGGGGGTGAAACGGTGGCGCAGTGGTTAGCGCAGAATAACAGTGAACCCAGGAAATATGAACAAGATGAGATCGATTATTGGCCACGGCTAATAACAGTGGCAAGAGAAAACCGATCAAGTCTCCTCCCCGGTGGTGAAGTATGATCAAGCTTGTTCACTATATTGAATGAGCCGTCAATATAAACGTTAAATAACGCACGTTTCGAGTCTGTAACTTTTCTCAAACTGGCTGTCGACTGTAATACGGGAAACGTGGCTATTTAAATGCGCGTTTGTGTTTGTTTATCGATCACGGGCTTCACTTATCGTTAAAATAATGCTGCCAGTGCCAGCCAAGGATTTGATAGACGCGTTACGAGAGGACGTCAAAGTGAGGAGATGGAGCCACGGAATCTCGCTCGCGTGCAAGTTGCTATAGGCGGCTTTGCACATCGTAGCATCATCGTGAGATAAAGGGCGATGGCTTGGAAGGAATATCGCCTTCATCCAGCAGTGGATAGATGCTGGATGACGATTCATGCGACTACAGCGCGTACGGTGCGCGCGTTATAGGACACGTATGCCACACTATACAATACTATACCGTACATACTTCTTTTTTTACATTTCTAACAGAATATACACAGCCATAAACACCTTCTACGCCGCTGACGTTGACACATTAAACTATCGTAAGATTTTAATACGGCGTTATGGCGTTTTAACAGTATCGGGGGGCGGTTACGGGGTCGACGTGCTTCGGCCTGCCGGCAAAGGCAGCGCCCAGCCCGGCCAAGCTACTATCCGAGGCCCGGTGCCCCACCCCCGAGCCCGACTCGCGTAGGCCGCAGCCGGTGTCAACACAAATCGGCGCGCAATTTCGCCAACTTTGTACCAAAAAAAAACGCAAATCGACACAAACAACGAGCCCCGTTGGCTATCATCAAGAAACGCGACTCACCCGGTCGTCTGGCGATTTATTTCAAGGCGATCAAGAACACCCCCGGGGTTTGCGTCCGGGGGGTAAAGGAAGGGAAGGGAAGGGCGGTGTGGGTGTAATAGGGTTTGGCGGTGTGTGTGTGTGGGTGTTATGGGGTTTGACGGCGTATATTTCTCTCTCTTCACACACCACCCCACTACTACCACCACGTTCCTTCCCCTTCTCTCGTGTTGCGAGGTGGGCGGGCCGGGTACCCGGGTCTCGTGGCTTCTACTCGGAACCGGCTCTTCTCTCTTTCTCTATGTGAGATCACTGCCGGCCACAGATTTTAAGTTGAATGTTGTTGTGGTTTTTAAATCATTTATATTAAGTTCACTTGCTTGCTTGCTTGCGACCGTGCAAATCTTTCGGTCGTTTTTTAACCAACTTCCCGTGATCCAATCGAGCTGACATTTTGCACACAGACTCGTTGTGCGAGACAATTAATGTTCGTGAATTTTTTTTTCCAAAATTTTACACTGTTTAGGGAAAACAAATTAAATATTTCATTACCAATTGTTTAATACTGGCAGACAATCATCTGACCCATAGGTGGCAGCCATCTCAAGCCAGAGGACGAGAGGACTCTAGCCGCCACGCATATAAAGGATTTAGAGTGAAAAAGTTTGTTTTTACGGGTTATACTTATTTAAAATTGAGTACAGCATAAATACACAACACACAACACACACGTGTGCTGTGTGTGTGTGTGTTCCGGCCTTCATAGGTGCTCGCTAACAGGACTTGCCCCATGAATTTCGATTTAAAGCTTTCGTGACTGCAGGGATTCATCTTCTTGGTTCTTATTATTATATTATTTTATTATGTTTTATTTTTATGATTTTATTATTTCCCTTCTACGTGACTTTACCGAAAGAACCGACAAGACTTGCCCCATACTCTTAGGTTTTTTCGGTAAAGTCACGTAGGGGAAATAAACAAATAACAAATATATAATATGAATTAAGTAAATAATAACAAATAGAAATAAAATAATAAATCACGACGTTTCGGAGGCAACACAAGCTTCCTTCATCAGGTGTAAAAAGGCACAGCAAAATAACTGTAGTGGGAGTTATTTGCCCCTACAGTCTGTTGAGGCTTTTCGGGGGATCTTTGTCTTTGTGTGTTTTGTCTTTAGGAGGAAAATCAACGATACGACCTGATGGTCGATTGAGGTTAATCATAATCGGCACCCATAATAGAGGGGGTTTTGGGGGGTTAGATCGCGTAAATATATAAATGTGTCGTTAAACCCGCCACCACCCGAACACAGCCAACTAGTAAGGGTTGCCACGTAAACAGAACGTGCCAATTTGTCACTAGTACAGCATTAGTGTAGTGTATAGTGTAGTGTATAGTGTAGTGTACTAGTACAGCCACACCGGTGTGTTGGAGAGCCAAGCCACAACATTTACAATCTGAGTACGACGTTTCGCCAGTAATTACAACCAGCTTCATCAGGCGACAGCCATAATTGGTACCTCCGTCTGGAACGCTCTTCCGATATTCGGAAGCCGCTGGATGCTATGCACTTTTAAGTCAACTAGATTGAAAACGAATTTATTTAGAACTGAATTTGTGTGTGTTTAGTTTGTTGTCCTCCGATTAGCACGGTTGCCTACGTACGATGCGAAAGAAATTTTAACATTCATACACACATACGACGTCAATATAATCAATAACACATACCTGTCAACCCCTTATGAGTGCCTACCTTATTACAGACCAATCCAGAACGTATTGGTCATCTCGTCCCGTTATAAATTACAACGTTTATCCTACAAAGTCCCATCACAAGGGATAAAAAAAACAAATAGAAAAAATAGTGTTGCCCGTATTGAAACGGCTTATGGACCTGAAAACTCAATTTCCCTGTTCAAGAGTACGGGAAAACCGTGTGTGTTGACAGGTATGATACAAACAGAAATCCCACACCACCGGTTGTAATTTATCTGAATGCATGTGTAGTGTCAGTGCGACGACTGGCGGCCGCGAGGGCTAATCACGGGTGTGACAACAGCACACAGCCTATGAGAATAGGTTTTCCCCTTTTTCTGGCAACATAATAGTTGTGTTAAGATGTCAAAACACTAAACTGAAACATTTTACAAGGAATCATGTCTGCATTAACCACAATGCTTGTGGTCAGAATGCAAACAAAAAAAACATACTCTGATAATCTATGCATTGTCTTTGAAACGGATTGGTCCACACCAGAGACAGCTTTCTTTTGAGCCTAGTTATATTGGAGCGACCACAAGAGGGGGAAAACTACATTTTGACTTACAATTTTCGTGACTGCAGGAATTCATATTCTATGGTTCTTTCGCTAAAGTCACGTAGATGGCAAATAAAATAATAAAAATTAAAAAAATATTTAAAAAACCAAAAACGCATGACGTTTCTATCGCTCGTGTTGCGATCGAAACGTTGTGAGTTTGTATTTGTTATATTTATTTATTTTTGCTATTTTTATTATTTTCATTTTTTTCTTCTATCTACGTGACTTTACCGAAAGAACCATAGAACAGGGTGAAAACGAATCCAAGGGTCAAAGAGGGGGGGGGGGTCTATCTGGAAGCTCCCAGACCCCGTGAGAGACTTCGTGAAGAGGGGCATGGCCACGCTCGGGGCATATAAAGGGGGAGTGGAACGGGGTTCAGGGCGCACGAGGAGTTCGAGGTCATCGTCGTCGCTATGTAGCCATCTCACTACATATTTAACATCGTCGTCGTCGCTATATAGTCAACCAGCTGTATAGTCAGCCAGCTGTATAGTCAGTCAGGGATGAGTAACAGTGACTGTGGCATTAAAGTCGTAGCTTTATGCCGACGAGAAATAAATAAGAAGCCCTCTACCAGAGGTGGGACAAAGTCATTGTTATGCAAGTCCAAGTCGAGTCTCAAGTCATCAAATTAATGACTCGAGTCTGACTCGAGTTCAAGTCACATGACTCGAGTCCACACCTCAGAGGTGGGACAAAGTCATTGTTATGCAAGTCCAAGTCGAGTCTCAAGTCATCAAATTCATGACTCGAGTCCACACCTCTGCCCTCTACAGTCCGTGTCTGAAGTCATTACGTTCCACATATAACAACTGTGTAATGTTTTAATTTAAAGCTTTCGTGACTGCAGGGATTCTTATTCTTGGTTCTTTCGGTAAAGTCACGTAGAACATTTTTTTGCTGTGGATTTCACACCTGATGGCGATTGCTTGTGTTGCAGTCGAAACGTCGTGAGAATTTCATTGTTTTATATTGATTTTATTTTATTATTTCCCTTCTACGTGACTTTACCGAAAGAACCAAGAATATGTGTAATGATTGTGAGGCTTGGAGATGGCTTCGTCCAGCAGTGGATTGACCATGGCCGTTGATGATGGTGACATGCATCATAATATGGCTTGTAACGTTGTTGGGCCTCTGGGTTGGGCTGAAAGGATGAACAAGAGAGCCAACTCAATTATTACTCTCCCACCCCTCACCCCGCCACCTCCATCACCCCTTGTCTAAGTCATCCCTTTGGGCAGATCTCACGTATGTTGAACTTCTTTCGCACCATACGTAGCCAACCGTGCTAATTGGAGGCGTGAGTGAATGACAACAAACTAAGCACAAGAAACTGCAGTCAACAATGCTTGACTCAGGGAGGAGGACGCCCCTGCCATGCATAGTCCCAACAAGGCAACTTCTATGACTAATTGGGAATGGGACGCAAGCGTAGTATTGATCACCCTGTCGCTGGCCGCCTTTGGGGAGGGTGTATAGTATGAAAGGCCGAAACACCCTAGGAACCAAAGGTTCACTACTGACGATACGCTCCCCAAATTTCACCAGGCTCACTGTTCATGAACTCTTGGAAGTGCTTGCACAAAGGATAGTACCATCTCATCCTGTGTTTTTTGGAATCAGCGGCTTTCTTATTTCGAACGGAAGAGCATTCCAGACGGCCGCAGAAGCGCATCTGAAAGTGCTCGCGATGAGGTGACCGTCTTTGTTCGATGGCTAGCCAAAAGCCTGCTGCTGTAAGAATGACCGGAGTTCGCATGATGGTTTATGTTCCTTGATGAGATCAGCAAGTTATCATGAGCAACGCACTTGAAGAATCCACCTAGCCTGCATGTCATTGGTGGTGAATTTTCATCTCAGCATTTTTTGTGAGCCATATATTTGTTTACGCTCGAGCGATCGCCGCTGTTAATACGTTTTACAGAAATGGCGAATAAATTATGCCATCTTTCGTCCCTTTTCGAACGGTTTCAACCCATAAGGTTAGAAACGGGTCGGTGCATCAGCTCTGGATCACGATAAATAACGATGTTCTAATACGAGCAAAACTTTAGTCAAAAGTTGCGCTTGGTATTAGGGACTTACCAGACACACCGGCTGAATTAATCAAAGGATTTTTTTCCCGAAAAAACCTGGAGACCAAAAAAATAACCGAGAGAGAGAGAGAGAAGATTTTTTTAACGCTTGCAAATATAAAAACGTGCCCCCCCCCCCACCCCCACGACAGCTATGAGCAGCTAATTAAATACTTTGGGAGACAAGACGCATGTTGGAAAGCGCTGCGCACATTCCACGCGTTTAGTTGAACTTGTATCAACATTCATTGTACAGAGTCCAACGTGTGTGTGTGTGTGTCGTATAAAGGCGGAGAGGAACAGACAAGAACACGTCCCTCATTATCTCTTCGCTGGTGGCTAGTGCGATCGTCGGGTGCGAAATACCTCAGCTCGCTATGATGTCCCTGTTTGACATCATATCTAACGATGTGGTGGTGCGCCCACGCACCCGTGCCAATGTCTCTGCAGCCAACGGGAAAGATTAGAGACGGCTTATCTTTGTGCGTGTGCCCTGGCTTCAGCCAAACTGACTACAAATGGAGATTAAAATGGGATTTTTAATGCACAGTGAAAGTATTAAACGGTCATAATAATAAGAGACATGTACAGTCCCTTGTTAAGCCACTGCTGGATGAAGCCTTCCCCCATGCCGTGTCTGTTGCACGGTTTGTTTCGGGTATCACTCGCCCTCGACGTTGATCGTGGCTGGGAATTGAACTCAGGTCGCCATAGTACAATGCGCTAACCCAGGGGTCGGCAACCAAAATAACAAGAAGAGCCATTTCTTTCCAATTCGGTACAAAATTCAGTATTTCAAGAGCCGCAATGCATCTGAGTACATACTGTAC